CTAGACATTGATATGCAACCACGAAACGAGGAATCGCAGAAGGAATGGAGGGACTTCCAAATTCATTTTGTTTATATCTTAACTTACTATTAATAGAAATATAGATATGTGAGGTCCAAGTGTATAACTACAATGATGTATACTAATATTAGCATAGTGGGATTTTGGTAGCCATCAGATTAGTTTCAATCTGAACCACTCACTCCTGTATATAAGCTAGAGTTTTTGGGATAATTGATATGCACATTTTATGTATTCCTTTTCCATATTCCATACACTCACATTATTTTATATTCCATGCACTCACATTGGTGGAAGTGAGGGGCACCTTTGATTATTCTTGAGAAGTGCTTGGATTTGGGATTTTAGTTTAGATTTAGCTTTTGCATTGTCTAGATCTAGCTTTTTCATTCCTTTCTTTTATTTTTTCCTTTTGGGATTTTGGTTTAGATCTATGCTCAAACACATAAGAGTTTCTATTTTATGTTTATCTAGTATAAGTACATTCATAATGACCAATTTCTTAACTAGCTTGGGTGGAGATTAATAAAGAGTCTACCAATACCAACCTCTTGTTATCATGGTAGTAAAGAAAAAATATTCGAAACGACTTGTTGATAAATAATTTTCAATACCTACAATCATATTCCCAACACTTGAGTTGCATACAAATGGGATAACAATGGTGCTACAACTCCCATCATTGTTAACCTATAGAGTATAAAGCAGATGACCTTATGTTAGTGAATTTTCCCAATCTTATAGTGTATAGTTTGTCTAAATAACTCCTTGCTTAGTGGAAGAGATTGTATCAGATGTTGCGGTAAGTTGAATGTAAACTTTTGAATTTAGACTTCTCAAGAAGTCACTTAACTCAGTACTATTCAAAATATTCCAAGACCCTTAATTAATTAAAAAAAGGGGGTACACTTTTATTCATCGGCCCTTTTCCCCTATATTTGAACTTTTATGGATTGTCTCTCAAATTGTTTTTTTTACATTGGACACAAGTATATAAGGTTTGGCATGACATTCAATAGATTGATCCTCTAAAAATTGTGCATATAAAATAGCTGAAATACTTCATACAAAAGGATCATAAATAACTAGCATCTATAGATCCACTAGTTCCTCCACTTAATATTCCTCCAAATCCCTATCAACCAAACAATTATAACTACTTTCCATTCTTCTAAGAGGAGAGGATGATATGAGGTTTAAGTGTATAGTTACAATGCCATTTATTATTATTACTGTAATGGGATTTTAATAGCCATTGAATTGGTTTCAATTTAGACCATTAATAATTGAATATGCATATTTAGCTAATTGAATATGCATATTTTTGTATTTTATTTCCATATTTCATGCACTCATAGATTTTCTTTTTATTTTGCTTTACAAAGTAAAGTCATATACCTAGATATCTAAATATATTCTTGGATATTCTCTAATCTAAGGGCTCTTAAACTTTCTCTAATTAACTTGTAATCAGTGTTTAAAGTTAATTGTCTAACTTATCACTAATGTAAATAATCTATATTGAAAAAACTATTAACACTTATTAACACTAACATGCCAATGTAAACCTTAAAAATAAATTTAAAATTAACATCATTAAGCCCTCCACACTCATGGTTTCTTTCTGTAATATAGAGGGCACAAAATCCAGCCATCTAAGATTGATGGCCTGATAGTTAAACACAAAAGAACTTAAGAGAGTTAAACATTGTTCTAGCTATTTAAAAACTAGAGACTAGTGGGGACACCATTTCTCGCCATTTGTCCTGATGCGCAATAGCTAGCAATTAACATTATGCAAATGCCTCAATCTAAACAAATGCCTAGCCTCATTAGTTGTTATGTTTAGCATTCAAGTATGTTAAGAAATATATTAGAATATACATTGTAATATATTTTAGATAGCACAAAAAATAATTTAAAAAGAGGAGTAGTGTATTTTAAATAGTACAACAAATTATTTAAAAAGAGTAGTACTCAATGGAATTTAAGGATTGGTTCCTCGAGGTATGGAAGAAACTAGAAACCTAGACAGATAAAATTGATGGATCAATTCCTCTCTCTCTCTCTCTCTCTCTCCATTTGTTTGTTTGTTTCTATGATTTTGCAGAGTCCTCAAAAAAAGGTACTTGGTATTGAGGTTCAACCATAGGCAAAAAGAAACTCTGCTGATGTTTTATAGGGAAACGTTTTCCTACAGGCCTTTCTGAATTGAATCCATGGAACCTGGAAGTCAAAACAAGAGAGTAGCTTCAGAACACTTAAAAGCTCACCCCTGCAAGTTCTGTTGTGGTGAGTGAATGGTCAAAGGTGCGAATATTCTCTCAAAAAAATCAACAATCCCGCCATTTTCTTCATTGCATCTCCCGAGAATTGGGATAGCTCTCCAGCTTCCACTTGATCTCTGCCCACTTGAGGTGAGATGCATGGATCCTACAAGAAGCCAGCCGTGGACACCACACTGTTGCATCTCCCGAGCTATTTTGTTCAAGATGCGTGGTATACTGACCTGAACTATAAATTGCAGTGCGGGATCACATTCTAACTGATTTAATGCTAGAAGCAGCTATGATATCTGACAACTCCAAAATGTTGAGCCTTCGCGACTTCCAATATGCTTTGTGGAAGGTCCCGATGGTAAGTTTGAGTTTTATTATTCTCGCAAGAAATTAACCAGCTGGGAAACCCAGAGCAGTTATTAAAGAAATAGTTCCATTTCTTTGTGAGGAGTGTCAGCAATCGCAACTAACTCTGATACTCTTGGATCGCTAAGTATGAAGTTTTTTTTATCTGTGCATAATTTAGGTTGATTATGTTTCTCAGTTCGGTGCTGACCAGTATCTACGTCTGGCGAAACTTCTTGTGTTGTGTAGGATCATCTCGTTCTTGGACTCCAACGTAATAAAATTAGGGAGTTTCCATCGAGAAGAAATACTAATCTTCTCTATTGCAGGTTCGTCATAGTATTTATCTTATTTTCGCAAACTTTCCCACATGAGAAGTTTACAGTTAATTCTCCTCGGGCATACTTCCGATGCTGTTTCTTTTCTGTTGGAAAGCTCAGTGTTTTAGTTGTCGTCACTAACACTAATACCAGATAGCACTACGCCTGTACAAGTACATAGCCTGAACATCCTAGCATGGTTTATTTCTGAAACTTCTATTTCGGACGAGAAGCAGTTACTGTTGGCCGTGGTTGGCTGCATTGTAGCTCTTGCAAGCACTTTGAAGGTAAATCTTGATTTCATAGTTTAAACCAGTCATAAATCTTTGTTTGCAGTCTGTGCCATGCGGTGCTTTAAAGCAATCAAGCAGGAAGGTCAAGTCTTGAAGCTTTCTGTGCTTTTGCGAGCCATACATGACAATTCCAAGAACTTCGTAAACAACAGGAGGTTTTTGTCATCCTTTCTTCATACTAGTCTGCTCAGCGAATGAGAGCAAGACAAATAGAACATGTGATACGTTTCATTAAGTTGCACCTCCGCCAACAATTTCAATCTTTCTAAGAACTTCAGACATCTCCCACCTTGCTTTGTTGGTTCGATCCAGCTGAAAATTATTGACTTGCCAGAAGGAAAGAAAGCGGAAAAGAATTCCTTGATTTGTTTCGTTACATGTAAATTCTTCTATACTTCTTTTCTTTCTGGCATGTCACCAATTTTCTATGTTGGATCAAATCAATAAAGCAAGGCGGCTGTATGAAAGATTGAGACCCTCTGCATTAGCTATTACATCAACAACCCACAGATGTGCAACCCAATGGCTAAGGGAGTGGAAATGAGTGGGATGACCATAACCTAAACGAGACGCAGACAAAGTTTAATACCTTACAGTCTCAATGGCTGCTTTGCCATCTAGTTTTGAAGCGTAGAACGATTGAAGGTAATTTCCATAGACGCTTTCTTTGAAGCAAGCAGGCGCTTCGTCAGCGACCAGCTGCGCCAGCGGAGCAATGTGACTATCTTCTGCTGGCCCATAGAATGAAGCAATGGAGACTCGAGTTCGCTCCGAGTTGACAACTGCTCGGTGCTCCACACTCTTGTACGCATCATTGGAAAGAATCTGAATAACACACAATCAAAACCTGGAAATCTCATGCATGCACGATGATGACGATCGAAAGAAAGCTTACCTGAAGCTGATCTCCAATGTTGACAACAAAGGCGCCAGGCAGAGGTTTGATCGGCACCCACGCTCCACAGTGTAGAATCTGGAGGCCATCTTTCACCCTGGTGTCCTGCTGGAGTATAGTGAAACCGTTTGGATCCGCGTGAGCGTCCAGTCCGATTGTAAGCTCCGGCTCCGGACAAGGTGGATAGTAGTTCATCCTCATCGCATGCCTCTCTCCTCCAAAAGCTTCCTCCAGAGCACCACTTTCCAGTCCCAGTGACTCCGAGAACAATCCAAGCACTCTTTTCGCTAACCGGTTCATGGCTTCTGCGTAAGCGGTCGAGATCTTCACGTAGGATGGAGGCTTAGTCGGGAGCTGGGCGATCTCGCAGGGAGGATAGCACGCCTGGTGGAGATAGTCTTGCCACATTCGTCGCGTCTCCTTGGACGGGATAAAACTCGTCCCCATCCGAAACTTTGAGGAGCTATCCTCGGAGTAGTACACGGACCTATCCTCGATGGGAAGGCGGAAGAAGTCGTGGACGAGCTCCATCATGTTCGCCATGAGTTGTTCTGGAAATCCATGGCCGATAATCTACAAGAACGAAGTGGAATTTCAATCAATGGTGAGCGATCTCGTGTACCTGGAAGAAGCCCCAGTCTCTAGACGCGCTCCGGATGGAATCAATCGCCAATATCCGAGCAGGGGAGCACTTCTCCACATCGGACAGATCGATCACAGGAATTTCTTCGATCTCCACGCACTGCCGTGGATCTGAATCCCTGCGGTACTCACCGGGCACCATGGCGATCCCAGCATCCGCCAGTCCCTTCACTCCAGCGATCCTAGACGCCACTGCCGCCATTCGTCAATCTCGAGCCGCGCCACAGTGATCACCTAATAGACACGGAAGCCGTCCAAGAAATATCATCCGGAGAGAAGAGCATGGCGAGGAGGAGCTCTTTGGCTTGATTCGATCGCCCCCGCGCGACCCAGAAGATCTATCAGGCAGCCGTAGTGCTCGGCTCCCGGATCCACGCCAAAATCCTGCCGCATCGACGGCTCCATCCGGTGTCGAGAAGCCCTCCATGGCTGCATGCGAAGAGAATCCCTGCGAATGTGTAGGAATCCGGGGCCAGGCCTTCTTGGACCATCCCCAAGAACAGCTCCACGTCCTCGCCGCGCTGCTCCCTTGCTGTGCACTGGCAGCGATCGCGATCGTCCACGACACTGCGGAGCGGTTCTTCAGACCCAGGAAGACGCGCTTGGCCTCGCCTGGGCTGCCGCACCGCACAAACATGCTCATCACGCTGTTCATCACCACTGCGTCGCTGCTCCACTCGCTCGCGGCGATTCGCGAGTGAAGATCCCTGCCCTGGACGATCCATCCCAGTCCCGCGCAAGCGTGGAGAGCGTTCACGTATGTCACATTGTCTGGACGCACAGACGAGTCTTCTTAACCATACAAGTCAAGGGCTTCTGTGAAATACCCGTTTTGGGCAAATGCTGCAATAGTAGCGTTCCAAGTGATCACATTTCTAACTTTTAATGAATCAAAAGTTTTCTTTTTTTCGACTGCTTGCTGGCATTTTTCATACATGTTGATCATCGCATTACCCACTCCAGTCTCGAGAAATCGATGGGACAAGCTGGCAAATCTCGCAATGATCTCGGCATGGATTTGTTTGCCGTCTTGCAGGGATCCTAGAAATGCACAAGCACCGAGGCCGCTCATGAAACTGCTCGAATTCCTTTGAACGCCCATCTTCTTGTAGAGATTGATCGCCTCTCTGCAATGCCAGGTGTGGGCAAGCGCGGAGATCATAGCGTTCCAAGTCACAACATCGCGTACGTGCATTTGATAAAAAACACGCTTTGCTTCCTTGAATCTGGCACACTTTCCATACATGTTGACGATAGAGGTTCCAGCGACAACATTACGCTCCCAGCCACACGAGCAAATACGCTCGTGGATCTTTATACCCTGTGCTTTATCCTGCTTCCAAGAACACGCTGCCAGGATCTCAATCAGCGTCACCATATCAGGCCTGATCCCTTCCAGATCCAACTTCCACAACAGCGCAATCGCCGCTCCAAACTGCCCATTATGGGCATTTGCGGCAATCGCAGTGTTCCAGGCCGCCAACTTTTTCTCCTCCACCCTATCATACACTTCCATTGCCAGATCCAAGCGGCCAAGCTTCCCGTACATGTTGACGATCGCAGCAGCGACATCCAGATGCGCGTTCAATCCCGATTCGAGAATGTGCCCGTGGATCACTTTGCCCTCCTCCCAACAACACCCAAAAGTCATGTTGTAGCCAAAGTAACTCTCCACAAATGCCTTGACAGTCGTGCATCACGCATTGGGTGTGTGAGGTGCACGAGATCATCTGCATACTGGGATGCTATCAGGCCATAACAGTGTTCATGGAACTCGACAAATCCAATAGTGATCCACATTCTCAGCAAGAAAAGCACAAAGTGGAATGTCCGAGAAAAAGCAAAAAGTTGTTTATATCCAACTTAGGTTTAGGGAAGTTAAATATGCTTCAAAAACAATGTCCCAAATTCACAATAGGATCTTAGAATTGGATCACTGCCCAACAAGTATGTTCACATGTGTTTTTGTTTGCAGCAGAGGAACCGTACTGAATATCCACATTCTGGTATTGAAAATTATTATAATGGTTTTTAGCTGATCAAAACGGTTTTAATGTACAATGCTTAAATCGTGATTTATATTGGAATTTTAAATTTGTGACTCACTTGTAATCAGTGTTTATAAAGTTAATTCTCTTACTTATCACTACTAATGTAAAATATTCATATAAAAAACAAATATGAAGTTCTTTATTTTGCCTCATATCTAGAGTATCAAGTAAAATTTGAAAAAACTATATAAAACTAAGAAACTCTATATTATCCTAATAAATTGCTACATGTTGCATGTAGCAACACTTGGTTTGCTTAATACTAGTGTTATTGTTACTTATTAATTCAATTGATCAAATAAAGTTTTTAATTATTAGCATGTTTGTAGTTTATAAACACAAAATTAATCTTATTGCATAATTAGATGATAGAATAAAAAAGAACATACTAGAATGGGTTTAAGAAAGTTTATAAAAGATAAAAATGTTATAAACTATAAATATAAAATTAATCTAAATGAATAACAACTGTTAGATGGTAGAATATTCTAGAATATTCAAGCATATTTTAGATATATTCACTCTGATTAAGCAAACAAAAAATTACAAGGATTAACAGTAAACCTTAAAAATAAGTCTAAAATTAACATCATTAAGCTCTGTTATCTAGAGGGCACAAAATCCAGCTTTTGGAAGTGTTTTAAGATTGATGTCATGATGGTTAAACACCAAATAACTTACAAGAGTTAAAGATTGTTTTAGCTATTTGAAAAAAGTGGCGACACCATTCCCCACCATTTTTCCTGATGCGTGGCTAGCATATTCACATTAATATTCAATGCTATTCAAATGCCTCAATCTACGCAAGCACTTAGCTTCATTAATTGTTCTTTGCATTGAAGTACTAAGAAGTCCATGGAATTTAACGATTGGTTCCTCAAGGTATGGAAGAAATGGATCAATTCATATCTCTCTCCATTTGACTCTTTCTTTCTATAATTTTGCAGACTCGTCAAAAAAGGTACTCGGCATTGGCTTTGAGGAAAAAGAAACTCATTCACTCTGTACCACAACAGAACTTGCAGGGGTGAGCTTTTGAGTGTTCTGAAGCTACTTTCTCTTGTTTTGACTTCCAGGTTCCTTGGATTCAATTCAGAAAGGCCTGTAGGAAAACGTTTCCCTGTAAAAAGATCAACAGGTCAAAGGTGCGAATATTCCAACAATCCCGCCATTTTCTTTATCGCATCTCCCGAGAATTGGGATAGCTCTCCAGCTTCCACATGAGGTGAGATGCATGGATCCTACAAGAAGCCACCCGTGAACACCATGCTGTTGCATCTCCCGTCAATGTGCTGTTTACCAATCCTGTTCCTTGAACCGACCCTGACTACAAGAATGTCGGAAGCCCTTGAGTTGTTCAGCAGCCTTGATCGAGAAAAACTCGGGCTGGCAGCAACGCAATGAGCTGCCAACGAATTCATATTTCTGAATCGAAATTGGCATGTTGAAAAAGATGAAGACTACAAAGATGACACAAAGGGGCGAGTAAATCTAAACCACTACAATGATCAGCTGCAAACAAACATGTTAGAAGCCAAGCAGAGAATCAGAGTAACCAAAGAAACTCACCAAACAGATTGGAATAACAATTCGGCTGCATCAACGCGGGTAAGCATCGACAGGCTTAGAAGCATTACTTGCTTCACAAGAATGGTTGATGAGATGAGCAATGCTGCCCGCTCGAGTGGCGTCCACGACTCGCTCATTGTCGATACAAAACAGGTATGTACCAGCGCCCTGTCAGCAACTCTTGAGTGCTCTTGAGTGGATTGGTGGACTATTACACTTCTCACGTACGTCCGCAACAGTAGGCCGGATGATCTCTCCTGCGTATTCTATAACCTGCACAATGGCATGGAGTTATCACTGGACAAGCATGTCAGGATCGCAGAGGATGTCGTGCGCGGATGGACGCTAGTCGCGTCTTGCTGCGACCAGCTCCAACACCTTGGACGCAATTGATGGGTGTTAGTACGCCCAGTCGCTGGTAGAATGCCATCGTCAATCAACACCGACCCCCTTTCCTACACAGATTCACCAAACTAAGCAAGCACGTTGCACAAACTGCAGTCAAACCTGGTCCGCGGGACACCTCCAATGAAGTTCGAAGAGTATAAGTCCAAGCGCGAGCATGTCAGTGGAGGTCGAGTTGCTCCGGCGCTGGGGAGAGGAGTAAACTGCTCTCCCCTTCTTGGTATTTTCGGTCGCGAGCATGGACTCCTTATTTTTAGCTGTAAGCCAACAAGTGAGAGATGGAAGAGATTTTTCGAGCATGACGTTTGAGTTGAGTGTGTAGTTTCTTTGGACCAGCAGCTCTCTTCATGGACTGTGGTCAATTTTGTGTCGTGCTGAAAGCACAAAAGAGATTGAGGAGTCGTTACCGCACTTATCCAACAACGCCTGGAAAGCGCACAACAATTGATGGATTCACAACAAAATTGCCACAATTGCATGCTCATCTCTTTCTCCGCATACCAGCAGTTGTTCAAAGTGAGCAAACACAAATCCTGCCAATGAGCCAATCCTGTTAATCCTACTGCGAATTCAATCGACATGCATTTGGGAATCCTCACCTCCACCCTTGCCCTGGGCAATAGTACCCTGAGCACAACAGAATTGAGAATTCCTGCGAGGAAGAAACGTAGGATGAGCCATGTTCTTGATTGAAATGAAGCTGATTGGGAGAGCGCACTCACCTCAGCCCTTGCCAAACGACCACAGCAGCTAAAAAGTCGCCTTTACAGAATGCATCACTCATTCTCGATCTAGACAATACACTGGTATACGCTCATAAGGATCTCGTCTCTTCTGTAGATTTCAGCATGGAATTCAACAATGATGCACCACTTCGTTGCTAGAGGCCGGTGAGTACGCTCGAACTTCTACATACTTAATTTTTCCTGTATATAAACTAGGGTTTATGGGCTAATCTATGCAAGCACATTAATAAAGATGCTCGAAGAGCTTCCACATCATAGACCAGGCGTAGATGAATTTCTGGGGAAGGTTTCAAAAGTATACGATCGTGGTGTTTAGTGCCGCCGAGGAGAAGTATGTCAACCTTATGGTTTGACCATCTGGATCCTACTGGGAGGCTTGTGTCGAGGAGGCTACATGGTGCCAATTGCGTTGTTCTAAAGGACGGGACGAAAGTCAAGAATCTTGACCATGCAGGGTTTGGGGATTTCAAGCGGGTGGTGGCACTGGATGACATTATTGACTTCTACCAAGGTCATCAAGAGAGCGTGGTGGTGGCTCCAAAGTTTGAGGGGTCAAAGGATGACCACTTCTTGGCAGATGTAACCCCTTTCCTCCTTGCCCTGTCAAAGTGTTCGGATTTTACCAAAGGTACCCATCGCTGGAATATTGGACAATGTGTGGAGAAGCAAGGCAAATTGTACGTCCCAGACCAATTCGATGATGAATGGGTTGTGTAAAATTGATTTGCTAAAGTCTGTAATAAATAATTATAAAATTTTCAAGTATTTAAATAATAAATTTAAAGCCTGAAAACTCGAAGAAAATCTCAAGCTTTGTTGATCTTTTATACATATGTTACAAAAGTGAATCATCCTAGTAATGAGCTCACAAACTTTTGCTTGGCTGAGCCCAAAGCTCTGGAAAAGAAGAGCTACCTCAGTTGGAAGTTGAGGTACTTGATACAGTAGGCGAACATGAAGGCGAAGAAGACCGAGAAGCCGACCAAGACACCCCCGACGGCACCCAAAAAGTCGTGGTCGTAACCAAAGTAGCTCTCCACAAACGCCTTGACGGTCGTGCGTCGGCCATCGGGTGTGGTGAGAGGCGTGAGATCGTCTCCATATTGGGACGCGATCAGGCCATACACTGTCCACGCAACCGGACAGATCCAATAGTACCAGATCCACCACTTTGGAATTCTCTGCAATGGAATGGAACGTTGTGAGGAAACAAACGAAAGCAAAAGAATGGATGCAGCTTACCGGCTTGGGAATCATAAAGCCCGAGAAGAGATTGAAGAGCGAGTAGAAGGAAGAGGCCATGATGGCAGCGACCTGGTGGTTTGGGGTGATCGACACGGCCATCATGCCGTAGTACGTGAAGTACATGAAAGTGAAGAACATGACGAAGAAGTACCACATGAACTTGGCAGCGCTCCACTCGAAGTTGATCATCGAGTACGTGATGCCGGCGTAGAAGATCGTTTGCAGGAAAATGTATGGTATCTCGATAAGAACCTGATCAAGAGTTTAGTGTGAATGAATGAAACATAGTGTGGAGTGCAGAAACTTACTTGAGCTAGAGCATAAGGAAGGGCCGAGTACATTCCAGCAGCACGCTCCCTGTAAAACACAGTTCTCTCGGTGGCGACAACTGGCTGGACTGTGGAGCAATTGTTGACCCCCAAAAACATGGTAGCACCATACATTGCACCAGCCACGTTAAAGAGATCTTGTTGTCTACTCCTGTAGAGTTTCCAAAACGGCGTTAACATGAGGAAATGAGTAGAGATGTTCTACCTCTTTGGTCCAACGTTCCAAAAGATCGATCCAAACAAGAGCGCTGACATGATTGTGAACAAGAACCGGACGCAGTTGTAATCGGGACTCCTCCAGTATGTCCAGTTTTGCTTCCACAAGCACGACTTGAGCTGACCGTAAAAGGATTGAGAGTACTGCGTTGAGAAGTGGAGGTCTCGCCTGTCAGGAGCTGGGACGCTCAGCTCCTTCACAAGAGCCTTGTTCCGTCTGTAAGAAAAAGAAGATCATGCCAAGGTAAGAGAGAAACTAGAAAACTCACTGGTAGAGTGACGAGTTCAAGTAGATGTTTGCAAAGTCCACGTTCATTTTCTGTTCCACGCTCGTTGAGCTCACCTCAAGCATCCATGTTGCGGGGTTATAGCCGTCTTTAATCTTCTGGACTCCCGGAATCGCTTCGAAGTAGTCGATCAGCTTTTGGGAATTCCTGCCTAGCGGCCCAGCGTAGACAACCTGCCCTCCTCTCTTCAACAAGAGAAGCTCGTCGAAGGCCTCGAAGATGTCAATGCTCGGCTGGTGGATGGTACATACGACGGTTCTTCCAGTGTCGACTGTGTTCCTCACCGTTCTCATCACGATTGCGGCAGCTCTTGCGTCCAACCCGGACGTTGGCTCGTCCATAAAGATGATGGAAGGATTTGCTACGAGCTCCACGGCTATTGTAAGACGCTTGCGTTGCTCAGTGGATAGTCCAGTCACTCCAGGAAGGCCAACGATTGCGTCCCCGAGGCTCTCTAATTCCACCAGCTCCATAACTTCGTCGACGAATTGCTGCAACGAAAACATATCAAGACAGATTCGGCGTAAAGCAGTCTTTTACCATCTTGCTGTCGGCGTCAACGTCTTTAGATAGTCGCAGCCACGCCGAAAATATCAGAGACTCCCGAATGGTCACTTGTGGCGAGTGAATGTCGTTTTGTTCACAGTAGCCTGAAATCCTCGCGAAAGTTTCTTGCTTTTTGGGATAGCCAGAAATTTTGATATCGCCTTCGATGTAGCCGCCAGTCTTCCTTCCCGCCAGGACGTCCATCAGTGTTGTTTTTCCAGCACCACTGACACCCATGAGTGAAGTGAGCACCCCGGGGCGGAAAGCTCCAGTCACATTGTTTAACAGCTGAAGCCGGGGCTCCGTAACTCCCTGCTCCTTCATTTCCTGATGTCAGAAGAAACATGTCAGAGAACAATATACCAGAAACCAAATGAACACGTACCGCTGGCATGTCAACAAAGTAGCTTATATCATTGAACGAAATTGACAAAGGTGTGAAAGGTAGAATCATTCCCCGCTTTGGAGCAAGTCCCTCTACGGTTGCCAGATTCATGTCTTCTCTCCCCATTGAGATTCTCTGCATTTGAACACCTGAAGGAAAGAAAAACCATTAAACCATCAAGTTGGAAGCTCGCAGACAGCAAGTATACAAACCGCCCAAGTTGTTCGCGTCAGTAGAAGATAGTGAGCGCGGGAGGGATCTCCTGTTTGAACGTTCTTGGGATTTCGCGTACGGATCATATTCAGTACCTTGCTGGCTGGCTTGGATCTCTGCCATAGATTCCTCGGAGATAACAGCCTGAGGCTTTCCGAGAGCTGTTCATAAAGACGGTTCTGTTAGCTCCAGTTTGCTTCAAATAATGTGGTATACTGACGTTTCAAGAATGTCAAAGCCAGTGTATAGATAACGTTGAAAAGTGTAACAAAACCAACTAAAGCTGCGACACCAATCCAGAACCAATAGCCTCTATACTGAAACGATCTGTCTCGAAGAGCTTTAACACCCAGCGTGAGCGTTGAGTTCACCACGGGCTGTACAAGAAAAAAAAAAAAACGTTGGGTTTCCTATAATCTCAAATAACGTTGCGCACCTGTCGCCAGCGAGGCGCTAGCAGCTCGTTGATACTGATTGCACTGTCTGCATATGTTAGAGGAGAAATCCAGTAACCCCATATCCACCACGACGGAATTCTATCTGAAATTTTGTAAGAGAAGCTCCTTGAGGTTAGCAGGAGTTTGTAGCAGCCAAGTACCTTTTGATATAATGAATCCTCCAAGCACGAACACGACAAGTAGCGAAAAGGCTCCTCCGGTGTTCGAGATGATCATAGTCCGGCACAAACCCGCAATGCAGCGGAAAAGTGACGATGCCATTTGATGCACAAGCAGGAGCACTAGAAAGTGCTTGAAAAATCTACAAGATAAAAACTTCATTCACCTGCATGAGAAAAGCTTGTAGAAGACTTACCGTCCGGCCTCGGGTGCGAGCCCCTCGACATAATAAGTCATGGCAGTCCATATAAAGGACTCAATCATTGCAAATGGAAGGCTCAGGGCGTAAGTTGGTAGCGTGTAAGCCCATGCCGGATGAAAGAGCAAGTCTCGCTGTTTGAAAAACACGGGAAGGCGAGTGATAGTGATTGAAACCTCAGAGAATCCGTTAAACATGATGGTGATGAGCGAGAAAAATAAGGCCCCCAGGTAAGCATTTGCGTCGTTGAGATTTCTTTGATGCATTCTCGTTCGCAAGAAAACGGTCATGGCAACGAAAGCCATAATAACAATCTATAACAAAGCATAAGAACAGATTACAAAAACGAAACCAAAGGGAATTCATACCTGCACGGATTTAAAGACGTAGACGAAAGAATTTCGCTTCACCAGCAACCACTCTTTAGCAAATCCTGCTTTGAAAAGTTCCAGGTTGCTCACAGAGTATCTTTTGAAGACTAGAGCTGCTTTGTGGCTGCTGGACTTGTGGTATGGATGCTTGAGTTCCGCGGTCAGCTGCTGTCCAACGTGAAATTGTTTGAATCTTTCAGTGAATTCTTTGACGGAAATGTATTTGTATGGTCGACGACTATCAGCCCAGTATTGCTGCTGGTCTTTGCGAGAAGTTACCTGATCAAACGGCACAGCAAAAACCTCACGGAATAAGTCAAAGCCAGCATAAAGATCAAATTTCGCACTCACCTCCTGCAGAAAGTCCGCAATGCCTTTCCGATCGGGACACCTGAACCCACAGCTCTCGAAAAACTCCATTACGTACTTCCTCGGGCCCTGATACACAATCTGACCCTCTGAAAGAAGAATGATGTCGTCGAAGAGATTGAAAGTTTCGGGCGCTGGTTGGAGGAGTGACATGAACACGGTCCCTTCGATAACGTGAGCAAATTGCTGGAGGCATTTCACGATCTGGAAGGTGGTGGAGCTGTCAAGACCTGTTGAGATCTCGTCCATGAACAAAGTCTTCGTAGGCCCAACTATCATTTCTCCTGGCAAAGGTAAAGATAAACAAATTATAAACAAATTCTAGAGCGGCTTTTTTCTTTATCGCATACCTGTGGTGACTCGCTTTTTCTGCCCTCCGGAAATTCCACGTCTCATGTCGTCTCCCACCATCGTGTCCGCACAGACATCAAGGCCAAGAATCTGCAAATATGAAAAAGAGCGATTAGCTCATCCAAAGATAACGAATTTTCTTGTCCAGAAAGCGAACCTTCAAAGTGTAGTCAGTGATAATGGCATTCTGGACACCTTCAGTGGCTGTGGCCTACAGCAAAAAGATAAGAAGAAAAGTCCGCTTCAGCAAAAAAAAAAAAAAAAAAAAACCAGTGAAGGAAACGGCGTTCCGACTTCACCTTCATGTAGAGATCAATGTGGGCATCGGGAAGAATCTCCGCTTCCTTTTCTCGTCTCGCAAGCTCCGCTAATAACTCTAGGAGCGCAGAACAAGCTCTAGGATTAGACACATTCCTAAAAGGCACCAAAAGTTTTAGCTCACCATATCGAGTACCGACTCCTTGACATCTTGCTGAGAACTCCAGTGTCTCGCGAACAGTCATCTCACCGACGTGTAGATCGTGCTGGCTGATATAAGCCGACGTCTTTTGCGGAACGAACTCGTCAAGCTCGTAGCCATTGTATGTGACTTGTCCCCTCGTCTGCACGAGAGCATCAGAAAAGAAGCCAAGAGCCCTAGGAGGAAATGTCATCTACCTTGAGAGTTGGGTCCAATTTTCCAGCCAATGCAAGTAGCAATGTCGTTTTTCCTGAGCTCGGAGGACCAAGCAAGAGCGTCATCCTGCCAGCGCCAACGAGAGAATGTTTCAGTCCCTGTTTTCTCTGCTTTTGGAATCGTACCTTCCAGGCTTGATGATTCCACTCACATCCTTGAGGATTGTAAGAGTGGTGCTTTTTCCAGTAGAGATTCCCACGACGCCGAGGAGCATCTGGGCAATCAACGAATCCTCCATGAATCAAAACTCAAGTGACAAAACTATGAATCTTTGGTACCTCTGCCGTGTTCCTGACAGCGTTCCAGAGTGTGGGCAGCGCTCTTCCTCCCACCATGCATTCCGCATTGATCGTCACATTCTCGAAGCGCACCTCGGTGGTGGGCAGCTCGATCCCGACTCTGCCATCCAAGAAGATCGTCTTGAGCAATCAAGCACAAGAGTGAGTAGCAGGATGGGCTCTAACCTGTCGATTCGATTCCGGAGCTTCTTGAGGAACTTCTCATTGTCTTCCTCGGTGGCCTGGATGAGATTGTCCATGAGGATCTGCCGCTCCAGCGGCCCCAAATTCCGCACATCGATCTCCTGGTGGACAACCCGGCTGCCCTGGAGGTTCTTGAGGATCGTGGTGCGCAGCCGATCATACGTGGGCAGCTTCTCCAGCGCGGCCCACCGGAGAGCCTCCTCATCGTCGTTCGCCGCGGGAACCGTCCGCGAGGTGGAAGATCGGCTGAAGACGCTCTCGGGACCGATCCCCCAGTTGCGGACGCTGCTACTGCGCAGGCTGCCGCGCCGGCTGTTGTTCCCCCACGCATCGATGTGCTCAAACTTACCAGAGTGCGCCATGGTATCTCAAGAACGGTGATTTCCGGCGCTCAAATCCCTGTCATTCTCGCGTGAAATCTGTGGCGCCCCGGGGGAAATGCGCTCGTTCTTGAAGAACGAACGGCGATCCAAATACCTCGCGATTTCGCGAAATATTTCCCACCTGATCAGGCTCCAAGAATCCAAGTGCTGTGGCGCAAGATCTCTCCTGCTCGCCCGCCGCGCCTGGCCGCGATCGATCGATCAGGGAGGAGATGCCGCTCAACGAAGGAGGGAGGGAGGAGGAGAGGATAAGAGATGCCCGCCGCTCTCTCTTGAGCGCGTCTCTAGGGAAGACACGGCCTGCCCGCTTGCAAGCCTTTTTTAAATTTACAAGCCGAGCCCCGGTCAACCACACGTGTTCCAAACACGTCACTCACATCATGCCGCGTGGCAGTGCCATGCAGGACATTGCGGTGATCTGGACAGTGACGTGGAGTCCAGGGAATTCCACTAGAAAAACGATTCTTATCAAACTAAAACAACAATGGCTGCGCACTCACAGTTCTCACCAACTCCGGAGTATATTCCATGCTGCAGGCTGTTGACTGTCTTTGACATCTAGTCAATTTAACTGTTGACTTACTGTAGCGTGGCTGGCCGATACAATCCAAGCCCGACTCGAACAAACAGTCCACCATAATTGACCTGGCGCTGTCGCTTGGTCAATGGTCAATCCTCTCAGGCGTAAATGCCAAAATATATTCTCCTCCCAAAATATATTCTCCCGACAATATGGAACATTCTATGTACGTACGTACGAACGACCAAAGACAAGGATGTCTCAACGCAAGGAACGTTGTCTTCGTCTAAATAAATCACTTGGATGCTGAATCTCCTTTTGCAAAACGTCGTTACCACATACTCAATGCTTTTGACGATAAGAATCCCTGTCACGTAGCGCTGCTGTTCCCACTTACACGAAAAAGGAAGGGTAGGCAGCGAAGATCCACCGCCGTTTTTTTGACTCGGCGTCCCTCTTTATTCTCTTGCCCTGGCGGCCGACCACTTCGTGTTTCCACTACTCTTCTGCGTTTTGATCGTGTCCACGTTATGTCTTTCAGTTTTCTCGGTCTCGTCGAAGTTTGAGGTGTAAACGTTATTTATGTCGTGACTGACTAGCCAGCCTTTGGCATCCTTTGCGACGTAAACTTCCTCTCAGAGGCCTGTAGCAAAAAGCACGTTTCATCTCACATCAAACTTGACTTTTGACTTGCCTCGAGGTAGCTATCCTGATTCCTGTCGAACATGCGGAATAAAAAATCGATCTCCCTCTGTGCATGCCAGCGAAGAATTATGTAAGCCCAAACGTTCCCAAGGATATGATAATTCCCAAACCTGTCGCATGAAACGCGAGGAAGGATGGCTCCGGAGAATTTGATGGAATTGCTCTTTGGAAATGTTGCGGCCTCCAGCTAAAAGAACAAAGTCCCACTGTTACTAGTGTGTGCTAATTAGCGCAGAAGTTGATACCTTTTAGCTCAATGTCCCTGAAAATCTCTTCAATGTCATCGATATGCTGAAGTAGATCAAGGAGTGCCGCATGTTCCTGTCACCATCGATTTGAGCTTCGTTATTTTACCAAGAGTTAAGTATAACCTGTGCACGGCGTCTGTCCACAAAACGGGGCCAAACTCGGAATCCAACTATCAGCGCTACGCCAAGGATTGTTGCTGTACACAGGGTTGTTCCTGCTATCAGCCGGAACATATTGGGATCGTTCTCCCAGCCACTGGAATAGAATAGAGAGAATTAAAACTTTGCATTCCGAAAGAGAAGACTTATATGCTGCGTACTTGGTGACGTTCATGCCAAAAAAGCTGCCAGGTAAAGTTGCCCTGCAAAACCAGTACCATGTATCAACGACCAGGAGCTTGTAAAGAAAAAAATAATCCCATAATCTTACAGACTGAATGACAGTGTGGCAAAACTAATGTATAGGTTGGTAGTGATAATACGGTTTCGTGTAGCATCCAGGCCTAGCTCCCAAACCTGCCATAGCGACAAAGACAAAACTTAAAGACGGAGAAAACCCAGTCAAAGACCTCTTGAGCCGCATCCATTTCCTTCCTCAACTCTTCCAGAACAGCGCCAGCGTCGTCAATCTAGCCTCAAAAACAGTACTTAGGTATGAATGTATAATCTACCACAGACTCACCTCTCTCAAGTATGTAAATAGCATGTCTGCAGCTAGTTGGCGAACCTTGGCCTTTGCTTTCTCAGAGTCAACATCTACACAACTGCCGGAAACGAAAAAATCAAGAAAGAACCATCTACGAAAAAGAAGACATAAATGACCTTGCAGGGACTTCCAGGCAGAATGACCGAAGCATTTCCTCACTGTTCAAAACCTGGAAAATTTCCAAAAACGCGCATAATAACGTTTCTAGGACTTTTCAAAGAAGAGAATAACCTGGTCCATAACTTCGTGCGTATCCCTGATGTCATGTTCCACTTCTGTCAGCGATCGTTTCAGTGGCAGCAGTCTCTGCAACCTGTATACAAACGCATTAAAACGAGAAAATGAAAGAAAATAACATAATGTCGCGGCTGTACATACCGACCAGTACTAACGCCAAGGGTTAAATCCTCGAGTGCCCGTTCCGCAACCACTGTCAATCTTGTAAAAGTGGTCAAGTAGAAAGCTGCGCGCCTGGCCTTTACCTTTCAACTTTCTGGTTGAAAAAGTTGCTAGTTTCTTCAAACAGGCATTCCATCATCCGGAGGTGGAAAGGCATTTGGTCCATATGAGAGTTTGGCGTATCCCTCGCATACCTAGCCAGTGAAGTTGCAAAAGCATCCCTAGCTGCTCTGAGAACGTTTGCATTAGCAAAAACAGTGTGAAAATCTCAAAAAAAAAAAACTGTCCCTAACTTGTGTGTCACGTCTGTTTCCACTTTCTTAGTTGGAACGACAGCTTCTCGCGGCTGGCGTCTACAAAACAAAACAAAAGTATGTAAACACAGAACAAACATCAACCGAATATGAAGGAAAAAAAGGATACAAAACCTCCTGTGTGCATCAAAAAGCAGACAAAAATCTCTGGAAACAAGGGCTCTGACGTTTTCCATCCTCACCAACACCTACACAAAGTTTTATATCACAAAAGAAAAACAAACACTCATAGCTTTACCTTGTCATACCGCAATGCGAGCGTCGCTCGACTTGGAATGAAAGAATTCCCAGTGATCACATCCATATCTCTCGGATGGATCCCCTAAAGCAGCAACATTTTTAATTCTCTCCATTGAAAAAACTATATCTAAACTCACCAATTCAACCAAGCTGAGGGATAACGTCTCCCAAACCCCATTCTTGTCGATCTTGATGACGCTGTACCTCTTGCCGCCGTCATCGCTATTGAATCGACTGCCGGCAGCTCCATTGATCCAACGACACGAGAGCGCGAGAAAACCGGCTCCAGATCCGATCGATCCAGCTCTCTTCCTCACGCCAATGCCAATGATCCCGCTGCATACCTTAAACATTAAAACCTAGCCCTAAAATCTCCCCACAAAGGCGCGGCAAATATCTTTACAAAAAAATCTTATACAAAGAACGATCTCCTTGATTCTTTTCGTGTGTGTATAGACAATTGTGATGACCGATCGAATGACCTGTGTCACGCAAAGAAAACCAAGAACATCAGAGTGATGAAGGAAAAATAGCCTTGTACCTGAGATGATTTTCATGCGTGGAGCCAAAACTTTCGCGCGAGTCGCAAAGAATGGAAAATCTGGAGAGCTGTTCTTTAGATCTTTCGTTGAGCGTTCCTCGTAGAGCTGTTCATCTCTCTGTGAAGCTGACGAGCAAAATCCTCGTCGATCTCTTCGGCCGTCTTGGCTTTCTCTGCTGGAGGAGGAGGAGGAAGAACTGGAGCTTCCATTCCTTCCTCTGGATCATCCGGACCCTCGCCCAAGCTCTTGGCGATCAAAAGATCCTCTTTTGCCGCGAGCGCTGCGTTGTTGAGAGCGTTCCTAGCGAGCATGGCGGCCTTGACGGCAGCCGCGGCCTTGGCAGCGGCAGCAGCCTTGGCAGTGACGGCCGCCTTGAGAGCCTGCGCCGCCGCGTCTCGAGCAGCGGCAAGAACATCCTCGGGACTTCTTTCGAGCTCCTGTTCTTGGTGCCCCTGGATCATATCAATCGCCCGCGGCTTCTTTAGACTCGGCTGTTCTTCACCCCTCCTACACTCGCAGCAAACGAAAGTTGGCGGCTCCAGCGGCAGCGGTGCTGGATTCGCCTCCGTCTCACAGCGGGCGTGCACGGATCTTTGGCAGCGGCAGCAAGCGATCCAATCTTCTCCACTGCCGGCATTTTCTTGGAACACCACCAAGCAGTGGGGGCATCCCATGTAGAGAAGCGTGCACGCTCTACACAAGAACTGATAAATCCCTCCATCTTTCACTCGCCGCCAGGCACCGCTGCCTTCCCTGTCTCCACACCTCACGCAAGCCTCGAGAGGATCCTTCTTCTCCATGGCTTCCAGAAGCGCGCCCTCCGAGAGAAAAACCACGAGACCATCCGGGCAAATCCGGGAGCGCGAGAGAGGAGGAGGAGGAAGAATTCCAGTCGCAATTGGAGCGCTGCTGTTGCTAATCCCGTTGTTCTTGAGGCCGATGAGATGGCGCTTGCGCGGGGGCAGCGATGCCGGCGCATTCTTCGTACCTTCGATCTCCATGTCGGTGGCGAGGAGCGAGGCCGTGGGCAATGCGTCGTCGCCCTCGCTCCCCTCGTCCATCGTTTCACTTCTTTATAAACCCTAAATTTCTTTTTATTTTAGGGCTGGAGGCAATGGATCGAGAAGGCGATGGCGATGGCGGCAGCGCCAGCGCTAACGGCGCGGGGAAGAAGAAGCTGCTGATTCTCGACGTCAATGGCCTGCTCGTCGACACCTATTTCATGAAGGAGGATCGGCCTCCGCGATTGCACGATGCCGTGGTGGGGCGATTTCTTGGTGAGCCTTCAAACCCTTGGTTGTTTCTTGTGTGACAATGCGCTCCCAGTGTATAGGAGGCCCCATTGCGAGGAGTTTCTCCAATTTTGCTTGCGGCATTTTCACGTCGCTGTTTGGTCCTCTGCCAAAGAGTAAGCTCTAAACTTAACACACCATTCTTTCTTAGTTCTAAGAATTTCTTTTTAGGCACAATGTAATGGGAATGGTAAACTTGATACTAGGGGAATCCCAAAAATTGCTTGCGTTCATCTGGGTATGGTTCGCTTCGTCGGGAAGTTCACGATCATTTAGTCTTTTTCGCTCTCTTTTTCTTGTAACAGAGCCAGAAATGGTGCACTGATACTGGAGTGAAGTGTCTCGACAACAAGTTCAAGCCCCTCTTCCTCAAGGAGCTGAAAAAAGTGTGGGAGAGTTCTAAGCCGGACGTTCCCTGGGACAAAGGCGAGTATGGACCCTGGAACACGCTTCTCATCGATGACAGTCCACACAAAGTACTGCGAAACCCCGTAAGTTTCTCTTCCTTTTCATACTTTCATGCAGTAATGGATTGTGGCCATCCAGGACCATACAGCGGTGCTGGCTCTTCCATACTCGGCTATGGAAACCACCACCTCCGCAGACGATTTTCTACCCGCACTACAGGGATACTTGACGAAGCTGATTGATGTCCCAGATGTTCGAGACTTCGTGCGAAGCAACCCGATAGGACAGCCCTTGATCACGGAGGATAGCTGCGATTGGGAGTTCTACTCGAAGCTCAAGCTCTCTGTGAAGTCGAGCAAAGGCGAGAGGTGGCTACATATAGAATCCGGATCAAGCTCGAGAGGGAAGGGCATAGTCGAAAGCACAGATCCTGAAATGGATACAAGGCAGCCATCGAGTTCGAGGAGACATGGAACCATAAAGCGCTATGACCAGCCGACGGGTTATTTGAAAAGGTATGGGACGAACACTGAAGAAACCAAGATGGATCACTTGACAAGGTATGAGACGAGAAAGTACGACACTGATGAATCGAGAAAGTACCAGGACTATGAGACGGATCATCATCAGCAGCACTCAAGAAAACGCAAGAGGAGCTTTCAGCAGCGTGAGACGGGGAAGTATGAGACGAGAAAACACAAGCGGATCAAACGGAAACACTGTCGGGAGCCCGAGAGGGGACGTCGAGATGCAGACTACCAAAGTGACCGGAGGGAACGACATCACTCGAGTGAGCGTCATCGCTACAAACGGCGTAGGCATTGAAGCAGAGTAAACAAGTACAACGTTGGCTCCAGAGAAAAGCTTCGGAGCACGCAGTGCAAGGCTGCTTTTGTAAAACGAAACTGACCCGAGAAACTGATGAGGACTTGCTGTCTTATTACCAGCTTTGATTTCTCGGTTCCTTCATCAAGCCTTCAAGCTTGCTTCCTTAGCTCCTCCAGGTCAAGCTCCACGGCAACAACAGGAGTATCTTTGTGCATCGCTTCGGAGCTATACAAGAAACTTGAGAGTGAGAACAAAGGAAAGAGACATGGAACAATCTTACCTGTTAAGAACGTGACCGTGATCAACAGCCGAGTGGCTGCAGTAGATTGCTCGGCCGAAGATGTTCTTCATTGGCAATGGTCCGAAAGTTCTGCTATCGTAAGCTTCCTGATCACCATTGTAGAGTTCTCAGCTAGTAACAACAAAAAAGAGAGAGAGCTACCTTTGAACTCAAGGCCTCGTTATCAGAGACCACCCAGCACTGTCCTTCCTCGAGAGTGAAAGGCTCGTCCTTCTCATCGGTAGAAACAAGCTCATCGCCCTCCAGGGCCGCCACTCTACGCACAAGAGCTTGCGCGGTATCCTGAGGATCTTTAAAGACGACAACGTCACCGATGAAGATACACCTTTGATCAAAATCCAGGAAGAATGAGTAAGAAAGTAGCAAGAAAATAGAGCTAGTCTTGCCTAGAAGATGGAAGAGGTACCGATCTCACGAGTAGAGTCTCTCCCTGGCTCTTGAAGGTGGGAGCCATTTGCTCGCCTTTGACATGGTGGAAGAATGTGAGCCTGCCCTGAAACAAGTTCTTCCAGATTCTATCGCCTAGTTGCTTCTCATTGATTTGTCCCTTGTCATAGCTCTGCGAGAAGATTCAGCCATTGCCAGGCGCGATCGGCGAGGATTTTCATGTTCCATACCTTGGCAGCAGTGGCGATCGAATGCGTAAGCTTCACAACAAAATATCGGATCCACATCGCATGGAGGCGAGCGCGCGCCTTAAACCCCTCCCGCCATAGCCTCGTGCACTGAAAAGAGATTTTGCCCTAGCCCTAAAGCGCAAATCTCACCGTTAAAATCAACCACCGAGATCGCTCCACGAAGCCAAAATTCCCGAAACACGTGTCATGCCCAGGTGCCTTACAGTTCGTTGGGTTTTTTTCCATGCAAGAAGCCAGCAAATGCGAGCGCGGTGGTGTGAAGAACCCTAATCGCGCCCTCGCCTCGGCTTCTTCAATCTCTCCCCTCTCTCGGTCCATCGAGTGATTGATCATGGGCGCCGGAGGCAAGGGATCGGGGCCGGTGCTCTATAGCGATGTCGGCAAGCAGGCGCGCGATCTCCTCCACAAGGGTTTCAGCGCGGGGCATATGTTGATGCTCTCGTATCTTGCCCCCAACGGCGCCACCGTTTCCACCACTGCTACCATGGTGGAGGGCACCGTGGTGGGAGTCATGAGTTGCTCCTTGAAGAGGGACGCGATGCAAGCCGAGGTCTCCGCCAGTAACCTATGCCAGGTTCGCTCTCCAATCTTTCTTTCTGCCTCATTGCTTCTCTAAAACTCTTTTGATAGCCCATCGTTATTTCACCTCTTTTTTCTTCTTTCTTTTGTTCTATCTTCAATGCCTTGCTAACTTTCGAGTTTCCAGATTACTGCCAGCACCACGTATGACGAAGTTATTCCAGGCCTCAAGGTTTCTTTGTCCACGGCTGTTCCAGGAGCTGTCAACTCCGGGAAGACTCACTTGCAATACTTCCACGATCGAGCAGCATTGACGGCCACCTTGAATGGCTTCAAGGCCAAGCCCTCCATGGAAGTCTCTGCCAACTTTGGAACTTCCAAGCTCACGCTTGGAGGCTCGCTAGTTTACGACCCGCAAAGCAACCGACTCATAGGCTCAACAGCAGGTAACAGACCTTCGTTTCTCTTTCGCTCGTGTTCTTCTTCAAGCTTTGCGCAAACTTTGATCTCGCAGGGCTAGGATTCTTTTCCCCGGACGTGTCTGGAGCGCTTATCGTCGATCCAAAGAACGGCAAATCGGTGGATTTGTACTGCTCCCAAGCGTTGAACAAGAAGGTGGCGTGGGCCTGCCATCTCAACCACAAGCTCGACCGAAAGTTGACAACGGCGATGCTTGGAACCTCGTACAAGATGGACAACTTCACCACCATCAAGTCCCGGGTCGACAACCACGGGATGCTGGCGGCGTTGCTCCAGTACGAGCCCAATCCCTTGATCAACTTTGGGATGTACGCGGAGGTCAACACCAAGGCCCTCAAAACCACTAGACCAAAGGTTGGATTCACGCTCACTGTTTTAGCAGCAGCAATATGATCACCGAGACCACGGAGACGGAGATGAGACGGAGAGAACTCCTTTTTTCTTTAGTTTTTTTCCGCGGATAGCCGAGGTGAGTGTTTCTCCCTTCGTTTTCTCCTTCGGCATGAATAATGTGATCGTTTTTCTTGCTGGAGTCGCGGGCTGTTTAGTTTAGTAATCAGTCATTCACGGTCATCTTACCAGTTTTCGGCTTGATTTTTGTTCTTCAATGGACTGGGCAGCCATCGACCTTGATCCCAGGAGCTGTTGGACAAGTTGCCAGAGGACACTGATCGTCGAGCTGCACATTCCCCCACCAAGTTACTTTCTTGCTGTTGATGCTGAGGAATGCGTAGATGAAAACTCCCATGAAAGCCACGCCTGCGTCGAGAGCTGCCGAGAGGATGTAGTTGTGCCGCTGCCACCATTTCTTCCTGGTTCTAAAGATGAAGTAATTGAAGAAGAAGCCCACCACGAACCAACTCCAGTAATTCACGGCCGTCGCGTAAGGCATGGCGCCGGCGCCGCCGATGAGAACCGGAACCACGACGTACTTGAGCCACTCCACAGTGGGGAAGACTTTGGTGAGCACCCAGTGGATTACTGGGGCTATGGCGCCCAAGAGGAAGCACCAGTTGAGGGACTTGTAGAGGCCAAGGTTGCCGAAAATTCGCTGTGGACCAATGAGCCCCCAGATCACTGAAGCGTCGTAGAAGATGGTGTCGCCCGGGCAAGTCCACACGTTCCCTTTGATGTGGCGATTGCAAATGTTTGGGACGGTCTCCAGCAGCCACCATGCCGTGCCCAGATACGTCATGGATGCCAGCGTTGTTCCGACGATCTGGAAGAACAAGTAAAATCTCGTTTTGCAAAAGGATAGGAGCTTTTTACCTGTGCTATGAACATGGACCTTGGCGGGATTTTCATGTAGTGCCCGATCTTAAAGTCACTGAGCAAGGACGTCGTCTGGTAGACCGTGATCGTGCCATAGGTCTTGAAGAGCACGTTAGCGATCGGCTTGTTAGGATAAATGTAGCCGATGAGGTACTCAGAGATGACATTGAGGCCCGGAGACTGGAAATTTGGGAAATTTACCTCAGCAGCCTAGAATCGGGAGAAAGATTTCACGAACCTGATTCGTGGTGGCCAGCAGGACACCGATTGGAAGGCAGAAGAGGAACGACAATCCGACCGAAAAGAGGACCCCCCACCATCTGAGCTGCAAATCGTTGTTGTAGACCTCGCACGCAATCACCGACAGCGCGATCGTCATCACCAGCAGCGAGCCATACCACCACGTCGGCACTTGCTTGTACTTCCTCATCAGCTTGGCATGGATGTCGGGGCGCGCGTCCTCCATCGCCCGGAGCGTCCTCCATATCGTCCTGCGCCAAAATTTAGGGCTCTTAGGAAAAGCGCGGGAATTTTAAGCGGGAAATTTTTTAAACGAAGCTTACTTTCCATGGAAGAGGATGGCGTGCGTCACGCTGGCCGTCAGCATGGCAAAGCTAATGCCGTACGTGAAGACAAAGATGGTGCTGATGTGGAGGCGACTGTAGTTGTTATATGCCATCGTGTCCAGATCAAAGGCCGAGGTGGTGATACGTGTCTGATTGTACACCTGGCCATCCGAGTCAAACAGCTGGAGGGAGAGAAGGGGGAATTTCTTTGCCCCATACATGTCATAGCCCCAATATGCCACGGGGGCAAGAACATAGAGGGTGACGATAAATCCCACCATAGTGTTGGCGATAGCAAAAAATGGGGATGCCAGTGGACTGCCCAAGAATCCCGCCACTGTTGACCAGTCAAGACCAATGGCTCCAAGTCCATAGCCCGCCAACCCAGACCCTAATTGGTGAGCAATAATGGACTTTGGCCATATGTAGCATACCCATGAAATAGAGGATAGCGTTGCAAAGAGATAACCCGGGAGCAAATAGTATGCAAAGCTGGTGAGGAAGACAATGGTAAAGAAATTGATCCTGGTCAGACCACCTTTGACCCTCTTTTCTGGCTCGTGTAAAGTCCTGGATGAAAAATGTGTTACTATTGAACTTCATCAATTATTTGCTTGAAAAAATTCAAGATACTTGCCTGAATAATGAGACCTGGACGAGATTTTGGGGCCACCACATGTGTGCGGGCTCGACAAGGAACTTTCTGAAGATTCCGGCAAAACCGAAGCCCACAATCTTATCAAAAAAGCATTGCACATGAACAAACAAATCAAGAATCAATGAATGCCTTCAAAAGGGAAGAGCTTACTTGCGTTGTGAGAGTCACCAGCAGTCCAACAAAGAATGGAAAATCCTGCCTGTTGTAAAACGCCTTGAGACTTGTGACAATATGAACTGCATACGCTCCCCCCGCACCAGCATTTGCAAAGATGGTGATCAACACATGCTCCTTGACGTTGAAAGGCCCGGGATTCAGAGAAAAGCCCCAATTCAAGCCTGGAACCAGGATCTTTTTGGTGGGAAGCATGGCAGCCATGAGCTTCCCCAGTGGAAGAGTGACAATTTGTGCTGTCAATCCACTCACGCTCAGCTGCTGCCTCCTGTAAGAGAAGAACATGTTGATGAAAGAGAGGATCAAGCAGGAGAGGATCCCAAGAGTCCAGGTCCTGAAAGTTAGAGCCGGAAGTGAAGTGTCATCGGTGGTGGGAACTGTGAGGCGGACTTCCTCGATGGGAGATTGATCATCATCTTGAGAGCATTCTTGTACATCCATGACCAGTTTTGCAGTTACTGAAAAGCAAACCAAAATTGTATATGATTTAGAAGCTGTTAAGCTGGATCTGGAGGCAGATCTTTACCTGGAATTGGAGCCTCCTTCTTGGCATCAGTGGTTTCAAAGCTTCCATCTGCAGATCTCAAAGCTAGAGTGAAATACATAAATGTAAGAGAATTTACTTGGAAGCTCTTGATCTTCTTGCTGCTGCTCCATGGCTTTCCAAATTGAGAGATAATTCCAGCACCCTAGGCTAGTCCAAAAGAATTGGCAGAGGTGTGTGAATACAATGGACGTGAGGATATAAAGTTAGTGGAAATTCCAAAGGCAACCAAACGATAAGGGATATTCCCTGACATCTTTCGCAAAAAAAGATTCTTTAGGTTGTTTGATGATTTGGAAAGAGCGACAGAACCTTCGCGGCACGAACGAGACAAGTATGAAGAATCCAAAAACCGGTTGACCAGACGTGCTGGCTAGAGCTGACGAAAGTTGACTATAGTTGACTAGAGGCTTTAACTTAGCGCTAATCTGAATTGCGGAGCTAGGGCACGAAACAGGGGCATGGAGGAGAGGTCGACAGCGGCAGCGGCAGCGCCATCGCCAGGACCATCATTTCAGGTATCGAAATTTCCTTCCTCTGGGAATCACGGCAAGCGGCGGGACAGGCTGTCGAGATGGGAGGAATCCAGCAAGAAGTCGAAGGGCGGTGGCGACAGCCCGGGATTCCAGCGCGGCCGGGATGGCAAATTCCGAGGCCACCAGAATCGCCGCCACCAACACCAGCATCATCACCATCAGCAGCAACAGCAGCAGCAGCAGCAGCAGCAGCAACACGACGCTAGAATCGATGGCGGCGATGGTGGCGGCGGTGGCGATTTTAACCACCTGGGAATGCTGCTCGTCAACCAGATCGTGATGCTCGACGGCAGCGTCCGGAGCTACTACTCGCTGCCTCCCGACTACCCAATGCCCCCGGATTTCCGCCTCGTCTTTCCTCCGGAGTTCGCGCCAGTAGAGGGCGTCTGGACCGCCGCCGCCGCCGCCCCCGCCGCTCCCCCTTACCATCCCGGAGTGATCGTGGATGCTGGATACCAGCCCCAGTTTGTAGCTCCTCCCAGGCACGACGAGATCAATGGGGGCAGCTCACAGCAACACCAGCGCAAGAGAAGTCAGTGGAACAGGCACAAGAACTAAGTCTGGCGTGTTCATATCAACTTAGAGCTCTTTCTTTGATTCTTAAACGTATAAGTATGGCACACTTCCTTGTATGCTGGACAGCCATCGACAACTATGCCAGGCTGGTTGGGCACTTGGCCAGAGGACAGTGATCACCTTATGCGGGTACCAAGCCCACGAATGCGGAGCCGGCGAGGACAAGGCATAGTTGTAGCGCTTCTACCATGCCTTGCGGTACCTAAGATCCTGGACCTGGGAACCGACGAGACCTCAGATCACTGACGAGTCGAACAGGAGGCGATTGTTGGGACACGTCCAGGTGCCGCCGGAATGTTAGCCAGGACATATAAAGTTATACACCATGGAATGTTAAGCTATACACCATATCACAAATCAGTGAATATTCTTTGCTCTGTGCTTTTTAACGGTCCCGATTTTTTTATATTTTTAATGGATATGATTTGTTTTACTAACTATGAGGTTTCTGTTTAAAATCTTATTATTTAAGTATTAATCATAGATCACCCATGGTTTTTCAGTTATGCATTACTAGTGTGTCGTTGTGTTTGTAATTGCTATGAATTAATATTCCTGACATAAACCTTCAGTGGAGCTTAAAAAATTAATAATTGATAGTAATTATCTCACTGTTATTGTAAGACTGCATTCTAGGATTGGCGCATTTTTAGCATAATATAATATTAGTCATAGATCTGCAAACCAACTATGTGAAGCTCAATAATTTCACCTTGATTGAGAAGTTTCTTACGTTTTTATATGGAAATTATTAGATAATTTTTGTCAAAATTTCAATATTAGAATCTTTGAACTCTGTCTATTTTTTCAAGAATTTTTTATATCAGAATTATTAGACATTTTTTGTTAAAGTTTTCATAGCAAAATTAATATTTGATGGATTATTTTTATCCAGTGCCTATCAAGCCTATCATATCAGAATTTTTAAGGAGTTTAGATAATTTTTTCCAAATTTTAATTGTAGAGCTTTGTCTTGTTAAACTTTTTGGCTAGGCATTTTTTGGATAGGCCATTGTTTCAAGAAATCTAGACTTTAATTGGCATTTACCTCTTACTTTTTTAACCTTTATTTATTTTTATTATTTTTTCTCAAAAATGAAAATTTTAATTCATTTTTTAAAAAAAAATTTATAAAAAATATAGGATTGAAAAAGGAAGAAATCTATTTATAATTTTGTTAACAGTAGTGCTTGTGAAGCTATACTAAAAGACTGTAGAGATTATTGGTCACCAAAAAGCCCTTGATGGAGGTGCAAGCTTAGAGCTCTATACATGAACAAATTACCAGATTTAAAGACCATAAACTTTAATCCAACACCTCTTCATTTTTGTATGGCTAGTAGTAATTGTTGAATAAAACTGAGACTTACCTGCAGGAATTTGAGACCGTTACAACTCCTATGAAATATGTGTATTATAAATACATGTATACTAATTACAAAGCCAATTAACATACCTTACTAATTATATAATGAATTATTCACTTTTAGCCCTGCAATATACCTCAAACAAAACAAAACAAGGACAAAAGATGCTTAAACAAGATGGAAACAACGGTGCGCACAAAGCATTGAAGACTAGGAGGCTGACAGCAGCAGTGAAAGAGATGTCGAAGATGCCACTTCGATTTTCAGTCTTAGATTTTCTCATCCTTCAGTCTCATGCCTCACAATAGATATATAGAGATTTGCTGGACATGTTAGATCCAGTGCTAATTTTGGTGTCATTGTCTGGTGTGTTCTTGGCCATCTTGGTATGGAGGTTGACCTAGAAGAGGTACGCCACCCTTTGTCGGAGAGATGCTACATTTGCTCCATTCCATGAAGACCAACAAGCCGTGGGAATTTTTAGAGTCGAGGGAGAAGAAGTATGGCCTGGTTCTCAAAACACGTCTGTTTGGCTTGCCCACGGTGGTGGTGACTTCCCCTAAGCTCATTTTTACCAATCACAGCAAGCTCGTGCCCAGCTCCGTCAAGAAGCTCCTCGGGGAGCGATCTCTGGAGGGCGACCAGGCCAAGCGGTTCCGTCACATCCTCCTCGCGTTCCTGGGTCCCGGGTACGTGGGACGAATGCAGGCCATGATCCAGAAGCACGTCGAGGAGAGCTGGATCGCGGGTGGCGAGATCAAAGCGTACCACTCCGTCAAGGAGGCGCTCTATGCCGTCGTCTATGATCTCTTCCTGAGCCTGACCGACGAGAAGGAGCAGCAGGAGCTCCTGGATCCCTTCCGCGTCGTCTTACATGCTCTCCTCGAGCTCCCGCTCGATTTCCCCGGAACCCAAGGGCATGGCTGGCAGCCAGGAGATCATGGGGAAGCTGGACCGGCTGATGGAGCAGCGGCGACTGGATTTGCAGAGCGGGAAGGCGTCCTCCCGTCTGAGCAGCAAGATCTCCTGTCGGTGCTGCTGGTCACCAAGGGCGAAGATGGGCGACGCATGACCGACGAGGAGATCAAGCAAAACATCTTGATGCTGGTTATTGGAGCCCACGACACGAGCTCCAGCTCAATACATCGCGGAGAATCCATCCTGCTAAGCTGCATTGAGGATCCACGGGCTCCTCCGGCTGCCTTCCTTCGGCTTCGCCAATAGTAGGGTACAGCTCCGGAAAGGTTGACTCTTTAAAACACACACACTCTCTCTCTCTCCCTCTGTGTGGAGCACTTGGATATTGCTGCTGGAGAGCCACTTTCGATTGCTGATGTCCGACGCATGAAGTATACGTGGAGAGTGGTCCAAGAAGGCATGCGCTTCGTGCCACCCACCATTGGAGTTTTTCGCCGGGCCATCGTGGACTTCGTAATGGGTGGCTACACAGTTCCACAGGGATGGCGGATCCCTTCTTCTATTCTCTGTCTCTGCAAGATCTTTAGCTTCTTCTTCTTCTTACTCCCGATCCCTGCTGAAACCATGTCAAAACAGCTATTTGGACCCATGTACCAGAGCAACAAGAAGGAAAAGTTCTTCCCCGAGGCCGAGAGCTTCAAGCCGGACAGGTTCCTTGGCACGGGCCCGGTCCTTACTCGTACATCCCATTCGGTGGAGGGACGCGCATGTGCCCTGGTTACGGGCTTGCCAAGGTCCAAGAATGCGTGTTTTTGTACCACATTGTCACCCGGGTCAAGTGGAGCTCGTGTGACCCGGACGAGATCGTGCAAATGGCTCCACTGGCAGCACCACTCAAGGGCCTTCCCATCAAGCTAACCTCCAATCCAATGTAGTGAACGATTGATGAGAAAATCAATCTTACTTTGCTACGACCAAGAGAAATAGTTGAAACCCGGTTTAGGTTCTTTGTAATGTTCTTGCCTATCCGGGGATTTCAGGCTGGGGATGGAGCAAACGATCTCCTCAACGCACTCGATTGGGAAGATTTGTGGCACAGATGGACAGCTCTTGTAGAGGGCGAGAGGAGCTTGCCAGTGCATTCTCCCGTTGCGGTTTTGCTGGAACTTTGTTCAGAAAATTTGTAATATACTTTCTGGTATAAACTTTTAGGAATGAAAATGTGCTTAGTATATTTTTCCATCTAACGGTTGATAATTTGTAAATTATAAACATGTTTATAATTTATATAAACTTTCTTAAACACCTTACACTAAGTGCACCCATCAAGAAAGAAGTCCTTCCAGTGCAACGCCGAGACCAAAGATGAAGCAGTTCGCGTGCATTGGCAGATCGATGCCTGTGTTCCATAGACCAGCCGGCTGCCTGAACGGATTCTCCGTTATCTGGAAAGGCACCAAGGACCGGGATCACGCCACCGATTTTTCTATGAAAAGATGCTCACTGGAAAAGTGACGTGGTTTGGCTCCAAGGAATCGATGCACTCGACAGCGAGCACACAAGCTTCCTCACAAAAGTCGGTAACGAAAACGGGGACTTCCATTGTTAAGAGCAATTCCTGGCAAGAGTTTGGACAAGGTGTTAAAGTAGAGTATATGGAGGCGACTTACAATCGTGGGTCTCCAAGTGATGTATGCCGCAACACCGGCGTTGAAAGCCACTACAACATCCGCACGAGAAATCTGGAACAAAGTCAGGAAGAAGTACTCTCACAGCGGAAGGGCTTGTGGAGCACCTGGTGATGAACCTCGTGATACAGCCCCTTCCACATAGATACGGATACGGTAGGAGTTATCGTGTGATTCGTTTCAAGTTTGCACTCGCAGCTAGCATCGAGGCACTTTGGATATGAAGCCAGCTCCAAAGTGCTTCCATGGCTGGAAACAAAGCGCGGGTCTCTTATAAGAGTAGCGAAAAGAAAAGAGAAACAAAGAACATACCTTGAGGAAGGCACAGCAGGTCCAACAAAGTCTATGTGGATTTGAGCGCCAGGAAGAAGCGCGAGAAGCTCTGCGAATACCTCGAGCTGTTCAAGCTCCCGCTCTGGGCCTGAAAGATGAATTGAATACGAGACATGGCGTGCTTGAGAAACAAGTACCTAGGTAATGGATTGTCAGCTTTTCTCTCGGATCAAAACTTGTTTGGTTGATCGCATAGTAGAGTGTAAGTGGCTGCCACAGCAATGATTTAGTCGAATGAGTTCTGGGCTATGGAACTTACCGAGTGAAGAAGAATGGCTGCCGGTGAATGCAAAGGTAAGTCACGCCACTCGTAGTACTGCTTCCAGCTCTCCAGTGGTGCCGCTGGAGCGTTCCTGGGACCTGAGCACACGCTAAGTTAGAAAAAGACTAGAGAACTCGCGAGAGGACACTACATTGCCTTTGCATGGACAAGCGTTGCTGGGAAGATGCCAGGACGCGTCCCTGCGAGAACTTCTTGCTCCTGCTAGACAAGAGCACTCGTTCTTCCACAGCCCTTTCCCGTGGAGTCCTCTCTTGTCAAGAAATCCACACATCGAGCTCTCCAGCTGCGAGAGAAAAATCCAGCAGTCCAACTCTAGCTGAAAGCCATACCTCGAAAGAAAAGGGAAATTCGCTGACAGAGGACGCCTTCCGCGCTTGCTGCGCAAGGCGCTTGCAGACAAGCTTGTGTTCGCTCCAATGCCTGCTCTGCTCGAAAGAACAACAGAACTACTACATGACCCAATCGATTGCCGCGATTCTTGAAACCTGGTGGAATCGCGAGCAGTACCAGACGACGCGGCATCCATCGCAGCGGATCGGGCAGGACGCATCATCGACGCAGCGGCTCAAATTTCTCGCCCCGCAATCCATGATCGTGGGATCCAAGAATGTAGCGCTACGCTACCAAAAACCCTAAAACTCTGGAATATCCACCACATATACCTTGTAAGCACATGCCCAGTATGGGCAATTGGGTTTTTGTTTGTGTTTGATGGATCCAGATGCCGTATAGAGAAGATTGACACATGAAAGCAATCAGGGTTCCATCTAGATTGCTAGACAACGAAACCAGCAGAGATGTTTGCTCGAAACTAAAACAGTGTGTGAGTTCCAAGGACTTTCCAGCTTGTAGGAGACTTCACCAAAAGATTACTGAGAATCACTGGGAGCTCAGCACATATTCCTGGAATCTCTTGCTTGAAATGTACGGGAGGTTTGGAAGCCTCGAGGACGCACGCAGGATATTCAATGGCATGGGAGACAGGAACACGTTCACGTGGAATATTATGGTTTCGGCATATGCCCACAGAGGGAATCTGGCAGATGCCGAGGCTTTGTTTGCGGTGATGCCGCAAGCAAATGTAGTTTCTTGTAATATAATGCTAAGTTGCTATGTCTCTACGGGTAAATTCAAGCAAGCTGAAGAACTGTTTGAAAAGATGGTGGACAAGAACGATGTGTCGCTGACTACAATGGTGACGGCATATTCCCTGATCGGGAATGTGCGGAAAGCTGAGCTAACGTTTGAAAATATTCCAAAACCGAGTGTGGTATCCTGCAATGCTATGCTTCAAGCTTATGTAAAGCTCGGTTTAATCGATAAAGCAAAAGATATGCTGGAAAAAATGAAAATCCGCGATGTTATTTCGTGGACTACTCTGCTGACCGCATATGCCCAAAATGGGGATGTTCGTAATGCCGAGGATCTCTTTGAGAGAATGCCAGAGAGAAATGTTGTCTCCTGGAATGTCATGATAAGAGCATATTCTCACAATGGTTTGATACCGAAGGCTAGATTGCTCTTTGACCAAGCACCTATCCGGAACCATGTCACTTGGAACACAATGATCTCGGCATATTCGCAGGATGGGCTTGTAGAAGATGCCAAGGTTCTCTTTGATAAGATGCCGGAGAGAGATGCTGTGTCCTGGAATTCCATGCTGTATGGGTATGTGAAAGTTGCAGATTTTGACCAGGCAAGAAGCATCTTTGGAAGGATTCCGGCGCCCAATGTGGTATCTTGGACTTGCATTCTCATGGGATATGCTCAGGCACGGAATCTAAAGGCGGCCAAGGGAATCTTTGACGATATCCCGCAAAGGAATCTGGTTGCATCGAACGTGTTGATGCACGCGTCCTCTCAAGTTGGCGAGTTTGAAGAGATGGAATATCTGTTTCATTCTATGCCGGAAAGAGATTTATTCTCGTGGAATGTGATGATTGAGGGATATGCTCGCCAAGGAAAGTTGGCGGAGTCTAGGAAGATCTTTGACTCCATGCCGGTCAAAGACCTCGTCTCATGGTCAACTATAATCGTTACGTGTAGTCAGCAAAAAGATGTAAGTCAGGTGGTTTACTTGTTTGAGAGAATGCCCGAGCACAACATTGTGGCCTGGAACGCGCTACTTTACGCAAATGCCAAAGCCGGGGATTTGCACGAAGCTCGAGCTGTATTTGAGAAACACCCAGACAAAGACATAGCGTCATGGAACATCCTCCTCTCGGCTTACTCACAGCACAACGATTTTGCGAATGCCGAGATGGTGTTTGAGAGAATGCCGGAGAGAAGTCTCGTGTCGTTTAACTCCATGCTCCAAGCTTGCGCCACCAGCGGCAAGATCGACAAGGCGGAGCCACTGTTTCGAGCCATGGAAGATCGAGATGTTGTGTCGTGGACGTGCTTGATCACTGCTTATGCCAAGAGTAGCGGCCGAGCCTTGGATGGAGTGAGAGCCTTCAAACTCATGGACCAAGATGGTGTTCTTCCCGACGTGGTTGCCACCACTGCGGCTATGGAGGCCTGCTCGATCGCCGGAGCTCCAGCACAAGCGAGAGAGATCTTCTCCTGTTTCGAAGAAGCCGGACACGGCGAGGCCGATAATCTGCTCGTCGCGAACCTTGTCACCGTCTTTGCAAGCTGTGGAGAGCTGGGTGAAGCTCGAAAGCTGTTTGACAAGCTCGTAAACCCGGACGTGGTCGTGTGGAGTAACTTGGTTGCGGCCTATGCCCGGAGTGGTGACGGCAAAGTCGCGCTGGAGGCGTTTCAGCTCATGGCGCTCGATGGTAAGCTGCCCGACGAGATTGCCTTCGTTGTCATTCTCTCGGCTTGTAGCCACGCTGGTCTCTTTGACGAAGCCCGTTACTACTTCACCACTATCACGTCTGACTACTCCATGAAGCCTGTCGTGGAGCACTACCACTGCATTGTCGATCTTCTCGGCCGGCTCGGGAGGCTCGACGATGCTAGCACTGTCGCTCAAGAAATGCCGTTTGAATCGAATAGCATCTCGTGGACCACGCTCCTCAGTGCATCAAATGTCCAGTCCAACTATAGTCACGCCGCAGAAGCAGCCGAGAATGCTGTAGATTGTGACCAGCTCAACTCCGCTGCCTACATTCTTCTATCAAACTTGGCTCCATCCTGATAAGAAAACTTCTTATCTTTATTTTGTGATCCTGGTGGACTCACCGCCATGTAATCGCCTCTGGTAACTTCATCATATCTGCCAAGCGATTTAGATGCTACTTCCCTGCAAAAGTAACGGAGAGAGATGGCTGAAAATGTTATAAACACTAGCGAACCATACCTCTTCACGGCTTCCAACGTTGCATAAAAGGGAAAACAGTACAGTGCCATGTCCAGCAACTTCTTCGGCTAAAACGTTGATCACTGCCACTGGTTTCTGGCTCCAAGCTTCATTTCCAGCGCAAGCTACGTACTCGTCCGTCTCGTTTTTCGGGGTCCTTCGTTGTATGAGGTGTACCAGAGGCAACGTGACCGTTCGCTTCTTCCGCGATAAGTTGAAAAAGGCGATATAGATTTGTCCATTGCCTCGCCCATGAGCGACCCACACTCGTTCTGCGTCATTCCCTTGAGCGTTTCTGTTGCCCGTACTGTGAGAGTTTACTTCCAAAACCGTCGGATTTGTAAGCAAGCTCAATGTTTCATTGTCCAAACGTCGTAAATCACCTCCAAACATGAGAGGAGACTTTGCCACTGCCCAGAGCGTCATCTACCAAGAAAAAATGTGAGTGATGTGCATTACAATGTACACTTAACTGAACCTGTGTTTTCTTCTCCTCCAAAGACAGCCTAGAATTTCGATACGGACCATAAGCAGCAGCTGGAACGAGAAAACCCTGACTTCGTCAAAAGAACAAAACAAAAAACTAGTTTACCAGGATCCGTAAGACGTCCAAATGGTAGCATATCTAAGTCTACCCAAGACTTGCCTCCAACCACGCTAGGAATGGCAATGAGTCCCGCATCTGCGAAGTCTCTGAAACAGTGCAAGTTAACAGAATACAAAGAATGCAATTCTTGGTACCTTGCTACATCAAAATGCTTCACGAGATACTTCCAGTCGTCCCAGTCGTCCCCAGTAACTCGATACATGTTTACAAGTTGCGCCACTCTTGCAGCCAACCCGGGTGTTGCTCCATCTCCCGGGGACAAAGAATATATCATCGGACGTCCTGAGTTACGAATAGCTTTTGAAACTGTGAGTATCTCGTCGAGCTGGGGATTCTCTGCCCCGAAAACGCAGTCATGTTTGATGAAGTCTATCCCCCAAGAAGCATATTGATCGTAAAGAGATTGAATGAAAAGCTTTCCACCTTCACTGCTGGTATTGATCCCCACAAAGCATTGTTGCATCCACGGGCAGGCTTGATCCATCAAAGCAATATCTTTAGCGTTCCATGCATGTCCATTGCTCTTGAATGCGCCCAAGATCGGAGTTTTCTTCTTTACTGCTGTCGTGCTGATTCCTCTCATGACGTGAATACCGAGCTTAAGACCCAGTGCATGAACTTTAGCGGCAATAGGTGCAAATCCTTTTCCACCGGTCGTGGAAGGCCATCGTTTTGGATCCGGAAGCGGTCGTCCCCACTTATCAATGAGATCGTAACCGGGCGACTTTGCAGAAGTTTTAAACCATCCATGTTTTAGCTTACGATACCACAGGTAATCTATTACGACGTACTGCATCATATCTGACTGTGAGCTTGACAGGCGAAAAACAAGTAGCCGTTACCTCATATCCATGCGGCTTAAGAGTTTCTGATACAATTTTCGCATTTTCCAAAAATTGTTCCTCAGAAATAGTAAAAGAAAACGAATCATAAGAATTCCAGCCGCGAGGTGGCGTTGCGGCGCTACGCGCACTGGAAAAGGACAAGCTGCTTGTCAGCTAAAGAAGTAAGAGAGTTTACGCTAATATCGCGCTCAGCAAAAGAATAAGAAGCAGAAAGCTGCAGCAACAGGGAACCTTGATTCTGTATAAAGCTGCAACAAGTTTAAAGCAAGCACAATTGAGAATTTCGCAAAACATTTACTCACAGCTAGCCAGGAAACTCATTTCGTCCTCTGAATCTAGTCTTGGTTAACTGCAATAACCGCCGAACTGTTCTTCGTGAAAAACCAGAAAGAAAAGAGTATTTTTTGTCTTACCGTCTCGGGTAGTCAAAGTCATATCGTTCTAACGTTGCAAATTACGATGGAAATATGGATGACTTAAAGCTTCGTCCACTGAAATACGATCCTCCTGAAAATGTTAAGTCAGGAAACGTATAGAAAAAGCGTTTTAAAGCTCACCGGATACCATTGAAGAAGTTGACGTAGAAGCCGAAATGACCATATGTCTGGCATGCTGCAACAGAAAGTTAATGCCTTAAACACGTACATGGCTCAGACAAACCCCAATCCTAGTGGATCTCGTTGCTGGATCTTTCTCTGCAGGGCAGCTTCACTACAATCCATTGAAGCAAGCTGACTTTCTTCCTGAACAAGTAAATATGTCACAAAGTTTGAGATCAGATAACTATCGGACCTGGTGGTTCACAGTTTCATTTCGATGATGCCGAGGAGGAACACGAGGCAAGAAAATGCACATCTCCATGAAAGCTCGTAACCTGAAGAAATTCTTGTAACATCACGTTTGGCAGAAAACAGACAACGTACTGACATGTAAGCAACGTTTTTCGACTCTTCGTCCCAGCCTCCCAAACTTCTGTCGAGAAGAACTCGTGTTCGAGCGCTTATTTGAAATACATGGGGAGTGCCTAGAACGATTTCCAGCATTATTACCCCTACACTCCAGATGTCATGCCTACAGCAACAAAGTAAGACCATTTGCTAAAACAGAACTCACTTACGCCTTGGTTTGATTTGGATGGAAATGCATCCAGTGGTCAAAAAGTAGAGCTTCTGGAGGAGCGTACTCCGGCGTGTGCTCATTTCTGAGTCTTGATTGTTAGAAGCACACTCAAACAAAGAAATTTACCTGCTTGGTCCCGCAGATCCATACAAATGCTGTAGCGTAAATGGATTTATAGCACTCCCGAAATCAATTAAGCGTCTGAAATATATGTATTAGTACCTTGATGCTCCTTCGTTTGAACTTACAAACTGAGATTCGCAGGCCATTTGATACTTTTATTCGTACTATCCACAGGTTCTTGGACGACCATGTTTTCTGAGACGTAGAGGTAAGCGAGCAAATAGCTGTAAAACATATGTTATACCTGGTTTTAAGTCTCGATGTGTAATATTACGATCGTGGCATGCTTTGACGGCTAATAGCTGAAAAGATACAATTTCAGTTTCCAATGATTCAAACACTAAATCAACCAGGAACGTACCAACTGACGGAGTAAGTTGCGCATTTCCCGTTGACCTTTTTTTGTAGTTTTCAGCCACCGCCACCATGCCGATGGTCGTACGACTTCAAACAGTCTTTTGTCTTCGCTTTCAGAGCCATTACTTCCTGGTGCTCGTTCCGATTCGTAAAGCAGCCGAGATAGAGATCGGCCTTCTTTCTTAAACACTAGCCAGAGATTGCCTTGCACCACAAACGAGTCCAGGAAACGCGCTACATGGTTGAGTCCTTCCTCGGTACTTAGCCGACTTCTGGACGCGTTTAAGAAAATCTCTCCGAAGTGCCTCTCTCTCAAACCACTCAATCGAATTTCCGGCCGTCCATTGAGCTGCAGCATTCTTAAAAAATTAGAGACAGTAAGCACATGCTTAAAGAAGAATCTACCAGAATTTGCTTCAAGACGAAAACATCGTCCTCAAGACCGTCTGCATTTGACTCAAAATTATCCTCGTGCAAACGCCATTCGCAAAACCCCGTTCCAAGCTCTTCAGTTTTGCATTCCTTTCGGAGAGCCAACCATATTTGCCCGAAAGAACCCCGCGCAAACTTCTTTTTAAGAATGTACCTGCAGTGTTAACATTGTGAGTATGTTGTGAATAGGATTGTTCTTACCTATAATGATGAAGCATAAAAGAAGGGGGAGCTTCAAAGACTTTTGATGTAGAGACATTTAAGCTTGCGAAGCTCTCAAAATCAGTGGGAACTGCAGCAATAAGGTCTATAAGTTGGCATGGTGCGGGATTGTGCTCGACATTTGCAGGAACGGCTTCCCTCGTGTCTGAGAAAAACAGCGTTTTATTATTTGTAATCCAAACCCGTCTTTACCTGGGAGTACGAAACTAAACTTAGAAGGGCATAGCTTCTCTGGTTTCTTCGAACGACCTTCATACTGAAAATGAGAAATCACTTCTCTATGTAGAGGTTCTGTGAGTGAATAGCAAAAGCGAGCGCCTTCACGACCAACCTAAAAGAGAACATGAGTGATACTCAAGATAAAATGAAAACTTACAATGACACCAGTTACAAGAGATCCTGGTGTCTTAGTAACACTCTCAGGAAAGTAATTACAGCCTGTAGACAAAAAAGCATGAGGAAAAACATTAAGGGAAAAAAAAAGGTGCTAGAACCTGATGTCGCATTGTCATCCATAGTAGTATCGTGATCGTTCTCGCTCTTTTCAATATTCGGAATATCGCCAAGGGCATAGACAACGGTTGCAAGATTGTCTGTACTTCCCAGTTTAAAAGCACTGTCGACGATTCCGTCGGCCATAACATTAAGCTGATATCTGCCAGAGGTTATCTCGTTCTCCAAATCTGATCGCCCCGGTAAACAGGTATGCAGGAAGTCGCGGCACAAATTCGACTCAGGTGGAGAAGTCATTTCTTTTGGAGGCGGCAAGGGAATCGCAACTTTCGCAGATAAAAACCTGTTCTTTAGAGTTCGAGAAACGTCCTTTCCGACCTCAATACTTTTTAAGACCGCGCAAACATCCTGGGAACTCATAGTCTCAAAAATCCCATCGGATGCTAGAACTAGATATTTGTTCTTGTCACCAATCTTTTTCCAGCCAGTAAATTCGGGTTCTGAGATTACACCGTACCTAAACGTAAAACAAAATGAAAATGCAAAGAGACAAGTATATGACGAGAAGTATAACTTACTTCTTAAGCGCCAAGTCTCCAATAGACCGTGAAACAGCTAAAATTCCAGCGACACGGGGAATGCTTCGGGAGTGTTCGACATAACCACCAAAGGACTCAATTCTCAGCTTCTCGTCTCTTCGGTTGGGATGATGATCTAACGTAAGCTCCTCCGCATTTAGAACGCCAGATTCTGCAGGCGGCAGTTCAGTACTCACGAGTAGCATGCAACACATTAACTTACCTTCATCAGATAGAGAACAAATTAAAGCTTTGGAGTCGCCAATATTCGCTACGAGAACATGATCGTCAATTACAATGGCTACACAAGCAGTCGTGCCTCCCATCGCTTCACCGTCAATGGCTCTCTGTAAATCTTGGCATGAAAACCATCTAGGATCTAGATCATTAGCTTCAGACCTTAATAAAAGCTTCTTCGATGTCGACCAAAGCCGCTGCGAGTGCTTCCTTCATAATCTTTCTCCAGAAAATTCCTTCCAGCTCTTCATCCGAAATAGAAGATTTAGCGTCAGGAAAGTTGTCATTCCTTGGCGATTGCAATGTCGCTGTAGATATCTTGTACACGTGATGTAGGAAATACTTATGGAGGCAGTGTGCGCAAATCGAACTGGCTGTTTTACTACCGTGGCCATCAAAAACTCCAAGCAAAGAAAACGAAAACTTTTTCCCTGTCAACCGAGATGAGCTAGAGAAAAAATGGAGGGAAATTCACGCAATACTGACCTGATAGAGGAGGAAGATCAATTCCAGGAAAACAAATCAGCGTGTCTTCCTGTGTCGGCCTCCGACCTATCCGAATCGATGTTCCACAGCTGCCATCTGCTACTCCCGTCGAAACATTACCCAGGCAGCTCCCTGGCGCCACAATCTCGATGAGATTCTTCCAGTCCTCGGAAAATCTTTGCTTCGTCGCGTCATCGATCAGATCTAGATAATCCACCACCGCATTTGATCCCTGTGCTCGATGAGCCAGAGCGATCCACACCAGAATCCAGAGCAATGACTCCCGCATTTGCTGCTGCGCCGGAACAATCCACACAAGATCATCTGCCCCCCACTTTAGGGCTTATACCCTGTTGTTAGGGTTCTAGCGAGAGTGAAAATGTCTTAACCGAATATTTTAACCTAACGCCAACCGTCGATACAGGTTCCATTCAGGCCAAGATCCTGTATGCGCTGAAGGTAAAGATTTCCCACGCGAGGCTTGATCCAACGCTCCTGGGCTCGCCAGCTCAGCAACGTGAAACATCGGTAAACGACTATGATGCCTCCGTACGCCACAGGGAACAATCACAGCGCCAGCATTTGGCCACGTGGATAGGCCTTACGTGATCGCGTTGAGGCCGTCACTTCCCGCAATCCAACGGTTGAGTAACAAACCTCTCACGGCCTTCTTCCCTTCTTCTTTGCCGCGCGGCCATGCTCCTCTTTGCATTCTCGCGAATCTTCCAAAAACCTATCTCTTTCTTGTTCTTCTCTTCGCGAAGATGAGGAGTTTCTGGTAGGGGGACTTCCAGCGGGCGATCGATCGAAGATGCGCTTCCACTGGCGATGCGGCGCCAATCCCGATCCTCCCGACGCGCTCCCAGCTCATCAAGATCCTGCGCCACAGGTGATTTCGGCTCCGATCAACAGGCGCTCCCGGAAATTCGAGAAGGAAGGTCCGTTTGCTGTCGTCCATGGGGCGCTGCCGGCACACGCGAAGAAATTCCAGCAATTCAGGCACACGTTGCAAGATTTCGTGGAGTTCGTCCTCTTCCGGGCAATGCTGCACACGAAGAAGGGAGCGCGGAACTGGGGAGTGTTTCTATCTGCATTGGCGACGATCTTTCTCGTCACGCTCAAACTAGTCTCGATCGGGCGGTCTCTTCCAACGCAGGCTGGATTCCGGGTGAGAATTTCTCGCCTCCTCCTTGGAACTTCTCTGATTCTTAGCGCTCAAATTTCACAGGATCGTCCTTCCAGCGCGATGCTACGAGCGGTATCGGAGTCGGAGTTCGCGATCGTCGATCCCACACAGAAAAAACTCCTTTCTTCCTGGGTAGGCCGGCAAGAGGTTCGTAAATTCGACTCTTTAGGTTTTAGTTAGTTTTGGGTGTAAGCAGGACTATGACGAGCTCTGGGCCAGGCCACGCAGCGATAGATACCGCCAATGCATTGCTCGTTCCCGGCATCATAGAGGTACCTAGAGCTTTTTCCTGTCTTAGCGGATGAAGCTTACATCTTTATGGGTGGATGTTTTTTTGCAGGACCAGAAGCAGTGACGAATGGTTACCTTTTAGTGACTGCCAATGGCGGACTCAATCAAATGCGAACGGGGGTATGCTTCTGAGACTTGTATTTTTCAAAGAAATCGTTGAAGGCCGGAGGTTTTTCTGCTTGATGTAGATTTGCGACATGGTTGCTGTCGCTCGGCTTATGAATGCGACCCTCGTCGTTCCTGTCCTTGACAAGACATCCTTTTGGAATGATCCCAGGTAGCTCCAGTTCGTTGAACTGTTCGGTTCGTCGTTTCAACTTACTGTTTCTTCTCAGCGATTTCAAGGACATATTTGATGTAAACTATTTCATCCACGCGTTAGAGAAAGACGTGTCTATTGTTGAAGCGCTGCCTCCCTCTCTCCGGGATGTCGTTCCTTTCCGCAAGGCTCCTGTATCGTGGTCCAATGTAAGCTTTAAGTTTTTGTCTTTGTGCAATGGTTGCTTTATCTTTGTACTGTTCCAGGAATCATACTATAGAAACAACATGACGGTATTGCTCAAAGAGCACAAGGTTTTGCACCTGACGCATGCAGACTCGAGGCTTGCCAACAACGGCCTTCCAGACGAGATCCAAAGGCTGAGATGCCGTGCGAATTACCATGCACTCAAGTTCACAGAACCTTTGCAAAGAGTGGCAGACGCGCTGATCAAGAGAATGCAAAGTACAGGCCCGTTCATTGCGCTGCATCTCAGGTAGTGAAAACTTGAGCTTGTGTTTCTTTCTCTAATTGCTCGTTCCAGATACGAAAAAGACATGCTGTCTTTTACTGGATGTACACACGGTTTGTCCACAGAGGAAGCACGAGAACTGAAGCGCATGAGATACGACGTGCGGCATTGGAAAGAGAAGGAAATTGACGGCGAGGAGAAACGCAGGCAAGGTGGTTGTCCTCTAACCCCTTACGAGACTGGGCTTTTTCTCAAAGCTCTTGGCTATCCCGAGCCCACGGCCATCTACATTGTCGCCGGGGAAACTTATGGGAACGGCAGCATGGCGTCGCTGAAGAAGATCTTTCCAGGCGTGTACTCTCATTCGACGTTGGCAACTTATGAGGAGCTCTCAACGCTCGCTAGGTACCAAAACAGGCTCTCGGCTGTGGATTACGCAGTGGCTCTTGAGAGCGATGTCTTCGTGTTCACACACGATGGAAACATGGCCAAAGCGCTCCAGGGACACAGACGCTACGATGGCTTTCGGAAGACAATCAGCCCGGACAGGTTCTTTTCCATGCTACGTTTATAGTTTCTCCCATTCTCTAACTTTCGTTCCACTCTCCTCCAGGCGAAAGCTGATTCCGCTCATTGATAGCTATGGAGCTGGGAATATGTCTTGGGATGAATTTGCGTCTCAAGTGAAAATGCTACACGAAGTGAGGACTGGAGGTCCAGCGCTAAGAGTTCCTGGTCCCGTCCCAAAGCACGAAGACTATTTCTTTGCCAACCCGTTTCCTGGTTGCATATGTGGAAGAAACAGCAGCGCCAGGGAAGTGTAGAGCGCTCTTTAACTTATGTACAAAGCCCAGGAAATTTTTTTTCATGGCATGGTTATGGGTCAATGTAGATTCAACATGGCTGAAATTTTCCATTTCAATTTAAGCACAGCACCACAAGTTGAGAACTTTGAGCTTGGATCCAGCAGCGATGGCCAAAGCCAGCGCCACCTTAACTCTAGTCGATGAGAAGCGAAAGTTCTCGAGCTGGACAGCCTTCTCGACGAGCCTGGCAAGAGATCTGGCTCCTTGATCGCTGGTCATGTTGTTGTTGTGGAAGTGGAAGAGCTTGAGAGAGCTGGCGGTGGTGACGATCTCGCATGCAGCACGATGGAGATGTTCCAGGCTCCGAAATGTCCCGGGATGCGCGGCGCTGGAGTATATAACTCGTGATCATCGTGATCGCTTCGAAGACTTGAGCGCTGTTGATAGTACCACTACACCACCACAGGAGCATCGTGAGAAGAGAACAATGAGGTTGCCTGGCCCCGCATAGTTGTGTTCTTCACGAGCAAGAGAGTCTTAGCTTCTCCATCACGAGGCCATGGTTCTTCAGCTGCTGTGGTCTCGAGTGATGGATTGTTCGCTGTGTCGGGAGTTCGTAGTGACTGTTTGTCATGCGAGCTTAGATTGAGACGTACTGCTTCCTACTGGAAAGTTTGTAGCTCCCGGTCCTTGGGAGCTGCCAGATCGTTAACCTTCATATCAGATGAGCCTGACTTCAGCAGGTAAAACATTGTTTCAGTCCAAGCTACTTAGAACTCTGAGAATGTGAAGTTGTTTTACCTGGTCACACAGGATTTGTGCAGGCTCAAAGTTTTCGCTTGATCGTGATCGATCACTCGGTCTAGGCTGTGAAGATAAAACGATCACGATAATTACGAGTTATATACTCCAGATTAACTTTAATTTTCTCACTAGATCTTTCAGCCATCATCCAGCTGAAGAAGTTGGTAGAACCTTGTAAATTTTTTGTGAAAATGGAATAAGTAGGCAAAGGAGTTTCATGAGATGGTGCTGATATTGTTGACCATGTTTAGCTGGAGATCAAAGCATTATAAGTCATTAAAGAGCCCTTACTTGATAATTACTTGATAAAAACGCCCTTCCTATTTATTCCTTAAGATTCTAAACATTCATGCACTACAAAAATGGTTAAATACTATTTAATTACTACAACTACAATCTCATTTCTTTGTTTTTTTTTTCTGTCTAGTTATTCATGCTTGTGTAGGTTAGAAAAGTTGTTTGAGCTCAATTAGTATATACTAGTACCTAGCTCTATAGCCAGTTTGATCCAAAGTCAAGCACTCTCAAGTTGGAAGAATTCTCAAGGCAGGGTGGAACAAGTTCCTAGAGCTAGTTCTTACCCAAAGTCTAAATATTTGAGAGACAAGAGAATGTAAATGTCTTTTGGGATGTATTTTGTGAGCTGATTCTTGCAAGCCTGAGGAACTTGAGCTTCAAGGAGCTAGTGAGCTGGCCTAGTATCATGCTATAAAGATGTGTACAAAATCTGACTTTCCTCTTAAAGTGAGGTATTCTATTTCATGGTGGTGGTGGATATACTTAAGGATATTCTACTATTTAATGGGTATTATTTAATTAAATTAATCTTGTATTTACAATTTATAGACATGTATATAATTTATAAAATTTCCTAAACACTTTCTAGTATATTCTTATTTATTTTACCATCTAATGGTTGATATGCAATAAGATTAATCTTGCTTTATAAATTATAAACATAAAAATTCCTTAATATTCTAAATATTCATAGTGATAGTATATTCTAATTCCACACACTACAAAAATGGTTAAACACTATTTAATTACTACAGCTACAATCTTATTTCTTTGTTTTTTTCTGTCTACGTGCTAGTGTAGGTTAGAAAGTTGTTTGAGCTCAATTAGTTTATACTAGTACCTAGCTCTATATTGCATATCTCAGGGGAATATAAGCTATCCGGATGTATGTTTGATCCAAAGTCAAGAACTCTCAAGTTGGAAGAATTCTCAAGGCAGGCTTGCACTCCTTAGAGTTGGATTTTCCTCAAAATCTAAATACTTGAGAGACAAGAAAATGTAAACATTTTTTGGGATGTATTCTGTGACCTGATTTTTGCAAGCCCAAGGCACTTGAGCTTCAAGAGTCTAGCAAGCTAGCCTAGTATCATGGTGCTACAAAATCTCACTTTCCTTTCAAAGTAAGGTTCTATTTCACCCTAGAATTTTGTCTAGGTTGGTGGTGGATATACCTAGAATATACTTAAATATTCTAGGATATTCTACTATTTAATGGGTATTATTTATTTTTTATAAAACATGTTTATAATTTATTAACTTTCCTAAATATCCTAGTATATTCTTATTTACTCTGGTTGGTTAATCTTGATTTATAAATTATAATTATAATTATAATTATTAATCAATTAGATTATTTAATAATACTAAATAGCAATGACACTACTATTAAGCAAATCAAATGTTGCTACATGCAAGGCACAAAAAATTATATTTCTATAGGGTGCTGCCAAGTCACAGTAGAAATTTTTAATAATAAGGTTGTCAAACCCTAACTGTCAAAAAGTCATTTTATAACCATGTCTTAGTGAATAATTGTGTTGATGTTTGCTTTTAGCTAATGGGAGGTTTGCATATCTTCGATTTTCTTGCTAAATTGCTTCTAGAGTGCTGTGATTCATAGCTCCTCAATCTCTTTATTTCCCCCAGCATGCTCTAGGGTATTCTCTACAGGCGTGCAACAGCATCATGGGTGAAAGGGTGAAGCTAAGCACCAAGATATCAATGCACTAATATCTATGCTTGAGAAAATCAATAGTGTCAAGTCAATCAAGTCAATGGTGTTTCAGTTCCCCACAATGCTCAAGCTTGTCAAAGGGCCACTCCAAAAGGCTGGTTTCAAGCTGAAGATTGGCATGAGTGGCAGCAAGAGGAGTGGCTTCTTCTCAACCTTAAGGTCACTGGAGTGTTATGACATCCAGAACGTTTTTGTGATGGATCAATCCTTGGTAGAATCTGCAAACCATGGTTTGAGTTCACACTTGAGGTAACTTCCAAGGCTTAAAGTTCATGTTTATTCAAACTCTTAAGAAATGGCTAAATAATTTAATTTTCTGATGTGATCCCAAGCTCCAACAAAGTTATAGTGACATGTTTGCAAGTTGATTGTCAAATTGCTCATATAAATGCATGTACTGAATGAAAAATGTAGACCTGACTGTGATTAGCATCAGCTTTAACCAGCTACTTAATTTAGGACCCTTTTATGATGGCTACAGCAGGTAGGGACTCTAATTTGGGGTCTAAAAACCATGTAGAATATAGTAATTAGTCATCCAAACAATTTCCCTTTGCAGCAGCAAACTAAACAGATGTAGAGATAGTGAAAGTCTTAGTGCTTGATAAAATGGAATGTAATTACTTTCCTTTCCCAGAATGAGTGATTCCAACTTAGGTCTTGCCAGCCTAGATACTAAAATCCCATCGACTCAATTTCCTTTTGTCTTTCAAACTTTTTTGTGGCTAGATCCAGACATTCAGAAGCACACTTCCAGCCAAAGTGTCTTGTAGCATTGTAGGAGGTAATTGATTTTATAATGTTTAGTCTATGTGTTTGTAATGGGATTTTGTAGTTATATAGATGGCTTCTGGGATCTGATAGTTTCTTACATGTTTCCTCAAATACAACAATTGCTATTTTGATACTATTCCAACTTAATTTTTAAAAAGCTATAAAGTGTTTGCTATATTGCTAATTTATACATTAATGTGAAATACATTTTAGTAAGGGTTAGGGCATTAAAGGCATTTTGCAAAGGGCAAGCTATGGCGCGAACAGAGCAGGAGCGCTGTGGATGCGTCACAGGTTTGTGGTCTCTCTTCCGACCAAAAAAGGCGCACAAGAGCGACAAAAAGGTCCACCCGGAAGCCATGGACGCGGCGGCCTGGAAGCTGAAGGTCCAAGATCGTGTCTGTGAGGCTGTCTCGGGAGAAGCCGCCTTGAAGTTGAAGGAACTCAGGCGCGAGGTGAAAATCGTCTTAGAAGCGATACGACAGGAGCGAGGGCACAAGGAGCCGATCAAGCCGGAACAAGAGAAGGAGGACGAAGAGGAGAATCAAGAGAAGAAAGCGGAGCAGCTGAAGGAAGAGAAGAAAGCCGAGCAGGTGAACGAGGAGGAGAAAGAAGCCGATCAGATGAAGCCGATGAAGCTGGAACAAGAGGAGGAAAACGAAGCCGAGAAGCAGCTGAAGGAGGAGGAGCAAGAGAAGAAAGCTGAGCAGCTGAGCGAGGAGGAGCAAGAGAAGCTGAACGAGGAGGAGAAAGAAGCCGATCAGACGAAGGAACTCAGGTGCGAGGTGAAACAGGAGCAAGGTCACAAGGAGCAGCCACAGCTGGAACGAGAGGAGAAGAACCAGCCGAATCAGCCGATCAAGCCAATCAAGCCGATGAAGCAAGAGCAGGAACAGGAGGAGGAGCAGCGGATGAAGCCAATGAAGCAGCAGCTGGAACAAGAGGAGGAGCAGACGATCAAGCCGATCAAGCAGCCGCTGGAACGGGAAGACGATCAAGAGAAGATGAAGCAGCAGGAGAATGACAAACCCAAGCAGGAGGAGCAGCGACCCAAGCCAATTCTACTGCCAGCCGGGGGTCGTCGTCCAGGTATGGTTCCTTTTGCTTTTCGCATTCTTCTTCTACTGTGACTCACGATGGCCTCCTGGACTTGCAGGTTCCAGTCCGAAGATGGTTCGCTTCTCTTCCTCAGCGGAGGACATTCTTCTCGACGGCACCCGACGGCGGAGTGAAACCCATCTTAGCGATGGCCGAGGGGGATATGTTGAGTTCGCGTATCTCGAATCTTTCCACAAGGCAAACCGGTGGCTAAACCAGAGGGGAAAAACCGAGAAGAAGATCCGCAGCTTGGAAGAGGAAAAGCGCGAGGAAACAGAAGAGGAAAAGTACGAGGAAAAGTCTTGGAGTGTTAGCGCGCTCCGGATTCTGATCAGACTCACCGAGCAGCTTTACGAGGAGCTCAACGGCAAATCCAGCGACCGAGAGAGGATCAAGCGAGCG